CTGCTGATGGAAGGTTGAGACAGATCCAAGTCATCACCGCTGCACTGCTGCATTTTTCCAGGTTTATAAATATCCTTGTGCTGTGATCATTGTATTTCTTGCATTATATCAGTATTGCGTTGGGTGGAAACTGTGTGTATCCCTCATCAGATCAACCACAAACTATTATTAAATTATTCTTGCACAATCTAATTGTATAGCATTTCATTTATTCTGTCATTCAGTGTTTGGAGAATATTACTCTGACCTCTTTGTGTTTCCACCATTTTCTCCTCTGCTTAAGAAACTTTTCAGCCATATTAAAGTCCTCCTTCCTCTCCTGGGGCCAATTTTCACAAACATTCTGAGAATCCTTTCAGAGAGCATCTAACTTAGCCCAAAAACTTTAAGTAAGGAGTTCTAGCTTAGGAGTGATTTAGGAAAGCTCTCAGATCAACTCTGAGCAAAGAAGGGACAGAAACTTTTACCTTAGTGAGGAGGTGTAGTTGATCTTGTTGCTAGGTGTGATGCTTTCTTTTAACAGATGTGATTGGTTGTCACAGACACGCCCTTCTGTGAGCCTGCAGGGTGTGGACACCCAGTGGAAATGAGATGAACTGCTGACTGTACAAGTGTTGTCATTGTTAGTGTGATCACTCTGCTGATGGAAGGTTGAGACAGACTCAAGTCATCACTGCTACACTGTTGGATTTTTCCAGTTTTACTAATATCTTAGTATTGTGATTATTTTATTTCTGTCATTAGAGCATGAAGAAATGTGTGTTTTCCTAATGAGATCAACCACACGTATTATTCCTGCATGATCTAATCTGTAACATTTCATTTACTCACTGTTATTCATGGTCTGGAAAATATTTCTTCTTCCTCTTTGTGTTCCCACCATTTTCTCCTCTCTTTAAGAAACTCTTAAAAGTCCTCCTCTCTATTCCTAACAGTTTTTCACAGAGCTCTTTTAAGGGCTAGAAGGCTCTGTGAATAACTTCTTTACAAGGACATAGTCTTAATTTTAAGGGGAAATTCTAGGAAAATGTCATAATTCTAAGAATTTTCAGTTTCATCACGGACGCAACTCTTTGTATGAGGAAGCTTTGTGAATACAGCCCTGGGACTTCTTTCAACAGTTCTTCATGTCAAACCTATGAGTCACATGACTGATTTCACTGTAAGTAAGGAAACCGGGAACAATGTCAGACGTCACCCTGGTGAAGGACAACATTGTGCACTGGAGAAGAGACAATAGACGGGTTGTGATTTTAATGGATTTACACTGGTCTGAACCTCGCTCTGTGTATGTTCTCAAAGATAGAAAATGAGTGTCACGATCAATTCAAGAAAAACTCAATTGAAGCATTTTTTTCCTTCTCCCACTCAATCTCGTTTCAGACCTTTGGAGCCGATGACGTGGTGTGCACAAGGATCTACGTACGAGCATAGCAGAAGTCCACAAGTTCCCATTTCCTGTCAGTCAACTGTCAGTGTGAGGAAAAATAATCTGTTTTGACATTCAATGCTTTGCATCTTCATAAAAATCACAATTTCATGTGGATGTTACTGCTTTCCCCTTTTTGTATATAATTTTTCTACCATTGGCAATTAAACGATCAAATTATGTGCTTTTGTTGAAGTGTTGACTTCATGCTTCAGATCCTGGGACAGTAATACAGACAAAGAAACAGCAGATGTAGACTTAAAGGAATACTTCACCCACAAAATGACCATTTGTATGTCAAGTTACTCACTTACTTACGTTTAATTCCTGAAGAGAATTCGCTTTTGTTGCATGCCTCTGTGGTGTACGGAGAATCCAACAACACAAACATTCTTAATGAAATGAAGTCACTGGGGACCAAGTCCTACAGCAGCAAAATTATATCAAAAGATCTGTTTACAAACTCTCACACAACTTGTGCAGTTTAATCAAAGTCTCATTTATCCAGTCATATGTTCAGTACTTTCCAAACACATGCGTTTTCACTAAAACAGTGTGATTTAAAACACTTCTGCCCTGTTACAGACTGTTCACACTGTAACTAACTGCACTCCCTGACGAAGAAATATTATCACATTTTAGGAAAAATCAAAGAGTGATTCCAGAGAGAAGCAGACAGAGGGGTCTACAGTCTGTTTTTGAAGGATATATCCAGGATGTCAAACTGACTCTGCAGCAACAACAGGTTAAAAAGACAAAGATAGTTAGAAGCTAAAGCCGAACTATAGGCTACAGATCACAGTGTAAAAGTGAACCACCACATCACTGCTGATCGCCACACAAGACAATGAATATAAAGGGAAACTTTGCTGATATTGAACCAGCTGTGTGGCATCACAGTGTGTGCAGATGAACAGCACCTGGACCCTTTCGTCTTTTGTCAAACAACGTTCATCTGCGCACACTGTGATGACACACAGCTGGTTGAGTATCAGCAAAGTTTCCCTGCTTCCCTTCACTGGTTCCTGTACAGCAGGGTCGCTCTTTGTTTCACTGTTATAATCATTAAAAAGCAAAAGCAGCATGTGTATACATTCAGTAGGCTACATCTTCAGTAGCTAGCTAGTCCGCACCCAGACTAGGAGGGCGACTAGAAAAGCGTGTGCATTCAAAAGAGTTCAAATTCGTGTGCTTGCCCAGGTGCACTACTTGTATGTCATCATGTTTTAGTGTTGTGTGTTTGGGAAACTGCACGAGTTGTGTGTGTGTGAACAGATGTTATGATATAGTTTTGCTGTTGTTAACAGTGTTGCCAAGTTTCTCACCCGATTTGTCAACTTTTCTGTCTCTTTGCAACTTTATTTCTAAAAAGCGACTTGCCACAAATTTAGCAAGTCAAAAAAAGCCTTAATCAAATATATTATATTGAAATTCATTCCCATTCATGGTACTCAGAGTAACTACAGTCCACAGTTCCTCACTTTGGGTCACTGTGTGAGTGAAGTATTCTTCTAAGTGGCCTGTATGACACAAACAGGATGGCAGCAAATAAAAGAAGTGGTCAGCTGAGTTTCTGTCTATTTAAAGGATAGTTTAATGCCAAACACCATACTAACACTCATGTACAACATCATAAAAGTCAAGAGAAGAGACACATTAAAACAAGGTACAAACAATGTCTTTATGTACAATCGTCTCCCCGGGACTTGCTGTGGTTTTCCATATTAAACACAGTAGTAAATATAAAAATAAAAACCCACGTTAATAAACTGTTCCAAGATTGTCTGTAGCTGGTTATGTTACTGACCTCTGCCTTAAATGGAGGATGAAATTTAGTCAGGTAGATTCCTTAATTAATTTTTTCTTTTGCTTCCATGTTATGATCCATGTGAAAAATTATATCTGGTTTCCGAAAGTTAATGTGAAGAAAAGCCTGTTGCTAATTGTCGATTTCCACTGTGTAACATTTTACAGCATTTAGTGTGATGGATATCTTCCCATCTCCCTCTAACATTACCTACAATATCTACAGGGCCGATTCCAGTTTTATTAAACAAACTGCAGACGGGAAAAGGCGATAAAAATCCTTAGTTTACATCCCTCTCTTAAAGGGAATACAACATTCACATTTGTATTTCGGCGAGAAATACAAACTGATAGCTTTGATAAACTGCATCTAAAGGAATTATTATTGCTTGCTTGTTCTCTTAATCCTTACACTGTACACAAGTCACATGTCTGACATTCACGTATAGACCTACTATACATCAGTCAGTGTTTGTCACCAACACTGGGCATAAAAAATAAACACAGCTCATGTACAGTTTTTATAGATGACACGCTGAACCTGTCGTACAGATTCTAACCATTTGGTTAAGTTTAAATACAAGAAAAAGTTGATGGTACTGTTTAAGACTTCAGTACTTTGAAATTAAACAAAAACGGACATATACTGTACTTTGAAAAAGGAGAAGTTGCTGCTCAGCTACATTCAATCATCTTATAACCACGAGGGACACTGATGTCAAAGACTTTAAGGTAGAAATGCGCAGAAAGGGGTCAAAACATGTATAAAATGGGTCTTTTTTCTACTAAACAGACTTTAGGGACGACACGTTCAGCAGACCACCAACGAAAAAGGTCTCTAATTAAACATCCTTTGGTAAAAAACTGTTAAACTCTTGCATTTTCTCTGCCACCTCTAGCTAAAGATTGATACTATGTGTGTGTTAATGTACGCTACACATCAATAATAAAAAAAAAAATATCTAGATATAAACAACATATTTACACAAAGCGTTTGGGCGGTCATAAATTACTGTACTCGATACACACCGCTGGCATTGTACTGATGCCAGGCATCTATCCAGCAGTCGCCAGAGATGTTGAATATATATATATGTATATATACTGTATATGGTGCCTAACTGCACCTTTACCACCAAAACATTCACAGGCTATACAAGTTTACAGCTGGAAGCCAGATTAAACTCCGAGTCTGACAGCACACATTGTAACAGAAGTAACAGGAACATGCTGCTGTTGAAAAGAAAAGCTGAGGTTTGTTTTTACTTCCTGTAAAATGACGTGGATCTGTAAAAACTCTTACTTCACTGTTTGGATTTAGTCATGAAATGCTGAACCATTTGTTTGTTTGTTCACACTGGGATTTGCTCCAAAGAGAAGATGCAGTCAGGAGTGTTTTCTCTGTGTAACTGGGGTTGCATTGGGTTCTTATGCATAGTCAGTATTACCTATAGTAGATGTCTTGTCAGCACGCTCCCGGTTTAGAGACGCAGGCATGCCAATATGGGACGTGCTGTTGACAGGGGATCAGGAACAAAACGTGCTCTCCATTTATGCTCATCAAAGCCGCCAGACTCTGCTGAGAAAAACAGTAATTTTGGCTCGCTGAACACGGGAGCAGGTGGCATGGTGGGGCAGTGGTTAGCATTGTCGCCTCACAGGTTCGAACCAGGGGTGGGGGAGCCCTTCTGTGCAGAGTTTGCATGTTCTCCCTGTGTCAGCGTGGGTTTTCTCTGGGTACTCCCCATTCCTCCCACAGTCCAAAGACATGCAGGTTAACTGGTGACTCTAAATTGTCCGTAGGTGTGAGTATGAATGGTTGTCTGTCTCTATGTGTCAGCCCTGTGATAGTCTGGTGACCTGTCCAGGGTGTACCCTGCCTCCCACCCTATGTAAGCTGGAAAAGAGGCATGACAGGCATCACGTGTAACACAAATGCGTCGGCTTCTAGTGTGATGTATAACATGTGCGTTGGTAGTGCTTTTGGCAGCTGTTCTTCGTCTTTGAGTTAGCTGCTAACTGCTGCTAGCTGCTTTTTAACTCTCCTGGTCGCACACATAACGTCGTCAAAACTTCACACCCGTGCTGCAGGCTGTCCCTTTTACACAAACATCATTTTGGCGATGTGACTACCTCTGCTAACGGCGTAAAGGCGAGACAACTCTGTCCCTCCATTTCGCAATCATACCTTTTATACAGAACGGGGCAGAATAATGGGGCAATATTCACACCTTGAACAGGCAGCATAAAAGGGGCTGATGTTAAATCACTGTTTTTCTCGTCTGGGTCTGACTGTCAAGACTGTGATATAACGGCTTCAGTTAACTATAGAAAACTGGGTCTGGTTGTTTGGTAAAGCAGCGAAAATATTCTAGATATACTGTACACTTTAACTGATTCTGATTTTTTTCAGTGGTAAAATATGTTTTGTTGCCGCTCCCTTCACAGCACTCAACATTTCTCCCAACTGAGAGCGTGCCAGCTAAAATCTACTGCAGGTAATAAACTGACTGTGGATAAGAACCCCCCAAAACAACCCCGACTTTAAAAGATCTGAACTATCCCTTTAATAGTGGGAGTTCTGCAACAGGTGGGTTGTTTTCAATATACTGACAGCAACACCTGCAAATCCTCTTTTTCACATATATTACAAAACTCGCAGAGTAAGCTTGAAAAGTTTGGACAAAGTTCCTGAATCACTTCTGACACGTTTGCAAAACTTTTGGCAACGGAATCCAGTAAGAGCAGGTTGTAAAAATCTGCATGAAGCTACTGTGTAAATGAAGTAACTGCCGGTCTGCTGCGTGAAGACAGTCACTGCCGCAGTTTATCTTTCAGTAAACAGAGACTACAGTATTCTGTACTTCACCCGGTACTTGTTAATGTTGATATAATGGAGGACCTCAGGGTTGCAAGTGGTGGTGCAGGGCAACAGGCCTTCTCGTCTTTCTCCCATCAGCCACTTGTGGTTGTCGGCAGCCATGTCGCTGGTCACGTGCTCCTTGGCCCAGGTGTCCAGCCAGGCGTGAAAGCGTCTGTGCAGCCGCGTGTTGACCCGCTCTTGAGACTGGAAAGAGACATCGACAAAGCTCAGCCACTGGGAAATCAGAGATATGTCTACAGAGAGTCGCCTCATTTATTCAGGTAGTGTAACGTCAAGACAAAATGAGTGATCCACTGGACTGTAGAAAACTGATTCTAAAGACAGGCAGAAAATCTCTGGGGACCAGGGAATGTCACTTTTCTGAGGGCACCAAAAGTGATGTGTCTTTTGAATATGATGCGTCCTTCTTGCGGTGACATCTAGTGGCTACTGAGCTGAACTCAGATCCATCTACATTCACTGGGGGGCACTGTTACACCACAGGATAAATGCTGGAGGCTCCTGTTAGCTATATTAGCTTTAAATGTTAAGCTTGGTATTTTTCAACTTGGACCCTTATTCACATGTTTTTGTGTCTAAATGATGAATGGGAACAACAGTTTTTGAAACTGGTCTAGTATTGAGTCAGAGGGCTGGAGACGACAGCTGTGAAACAGGCTCCACATGAATGCCATGACTAAATGTTTCCCAGCAGAACATTTCACTGTAACAAAATGATCAATGTTTCTCACTTCACCCGTCATGGTTTTAATGTTTTGGCTGATCAATGTGTAACGTAATATATAATATGACAACTTATGGAAAGGCTCCCTACAGAGAGTGAGATCCTTTTTGTTTGCCCAGAAACAGGCGCAAAATCGCCATCTCCAAACCCACTACACTTTACTTAAATAAACATTAAATTAGGCAAGTTTAGAGCCAGTTTATTTTCACATCTAACTGGGTGAATAGAATAGAAAGACCTTGTTGTCACTGTATTGTGTAGGATACAATGACATCAGGAGTGCCACTCACAGTATTCTATAAGATAAAAGGCTGTCTGAGTCACTGTGTTTGTTTAAGCGTCTCCTTCTATTGGAAAGCAACTACAAACTACATTTTCCTGTGCTTACCTGATGAGCCCGTGTGAGTGCCGTGTGCCTGTACATATAGTCCTCTGACTTGCAGACGTACACCATCTTGTAGGAGTTGAGCTTGAACATGCATTCCATCTTTAGCTCACTGTTGCCGACCTGCAACTTGTCCGAGGGGACCTTGTTCATTCTCTCCTGCTGCAGCTGCTCCCATCCTCTCTGGCACTTCCTGATCCGCCTCAAATTCCTGAAAGCAGATAAACACGCGTGAGTAACCCGGACTGATGATAGAGAAATTCTGATTACTCCACACATACATCAAAAGGGTGCATCACGTTTACAGGGAAAGTTCGCACAAATTTCTGTAAAAGAAAAAAAAAAATCTGTACAAATGTTTTATTAACACGTTATGTATGGCACAATTTTGTACTTGACAGTATGCACTGTGCGATTTTAAAGCCCAGGAGATGTGGTTAGGCACAATACACATGACATTAAGCAAATTTGAAAACAGCATAGTCAAATTTGAGAGGACTGTCCCTTTAAACACTTAATCTTAAACCCATGCATTTCAACTCACCCGAGTGACCGAATTAGATAGGGAGTCAAATCATTCGAGGGGAATGTGGATCTATAAGAGCAGCAGAGGCAGCAGTCGTGATATTTCTGTACAGTGCACTTCCGTTGCACAGCCACATAGTTCAAATGTAAAATCTGCTTGGCAAACAAATATCTGAATCGGAAATTTATCCTGATTTTGTGCAGGTAATTAAAAAAAAAAAAAGCAATTATTCACCCCACCTGAATGAAAGTTTTAAATGTGTACTTACCACTGAGGGTACAGGTGAGCGGGGACTGAAACCGTGAAGCATATTTTTGCATTCAGGGCTCCACTTAAAAGACATGACAGTGAGGCCAATTTCAAGTCAAAAAAACCGTTAGAGACAAACACTAGAAAATCGCTGCCTGATAGGAAACCAATCCAAAATGTTAGCTCAGAACTTTGATGTGCACATACTTTCACCAACAATGTACAGAGTGTTATGATCATGAGATGAAGACCCAACACAACTGGAAAAGAAACTGCTGGAATTTATTTATTTTTTTGTTACTGCCACTGAAGAGTTTTGTGAAGAAGGAAGTCGTTTGACCTCTTGTGCTGCTGATCTCTCATAGATTTGATGAGAAAAAAAGGGACAGGATGTGGGTGAGCCCACTGATAAATCATAGTCAGGTACCAGATTTATGCAATGGGTTAAATTAGATAAAACTAAGAGCAGTATTTTTCTCTGTATGTGTGTGTGTGGCATGTGTATGTGTGTGTGTGTGTGTGTGTGTGTGTGTGTGTGTGTGTGTGTGTGTGTGTGTGTGTATGTGTTTTAAAAAGCCTTTTGAAATGTTCATGGTAATGGACAGCCATCTCAAAGGAACAAATCAAATCAAAAAGCATCAAAAAGCAATGACAGACAGGCTCAATGTGCAACACTCATCTGGAGCTTTTTTAGACACAACCACGCCTCCATGCACGGCTCTGAGGTGCCGGGAAAGAAATACACCAACATGAACAGACAATTTAGACAATCATTTTATTTACAAACCCTACTCCTCTGTACAAGTGTTGCAGATAATGTGCTTGACTAGAGTTTTTAAAAACTTATGAGCACTAACTTCTGTCAAAGCGGTGGAAAGAAACCTCACCCGCAACAAAAAGTTGCAAAGGGAGTGCACTGTTTCCACCGAAAGTTATTACAAACATAACACTGAGTATAACAGACTTAAACAAATGGACATTTGGGCATTTACAGTTGCAAACAGTAGTCAAATACAGGTACTTTGATCTGAATACAATCACAAACAAAGGGCATGATAAGGTAGAAAAGGAAACCACTGTCCTCTCTTAACAGAGTCTCTCAGGCCCAACACAACAGCTTCAGTCTCTCAAACTCAGCTCAACGACATCGTAGAAAAAAATCAAATTAAAACGAAAAATGTGGAACCCATTTGTTTTGCTTTCAGTTTGTGCATTCATTGACTTTTGCTTTTATGTTACACAATGAAAATTGTCATTTAAATTCCATACAACGTGAATAATAATCAAACCAAATGATTACTCGTAGCAGTCTGCTGAGGTGGAAATTCAAACCCATGATCAAGCCAAAATCATTTTAAAAAACCTTACTATTAATAAATAAAATTCCCATTAAAAAGGAACTGAATCGATGAATAAATAAATTCCATATTTTTTAAAAAAGATGGCCATGTAAAGTGCAATCTTCCACGTGAGGCAGAGGTCAGAAACTGAACAAAAGTCACGTTCACAGCCAATGAGATTCTTTACAAACAGGAGGGTGTTCAGGCACTGCAAGCACTTCACTGTTACTGTGGAGTTACTCTTTTTAACAAACCTTTATAAACCTCGTTTGTCCGTCACTAAAAAGGTAGAGTTCTTACACCAAATATTTTTTTGTGATTACAAAGAGCTTCCTACGTCAGGCTTGTGCAGAAGTGCCACTGTTTTCTATCTCTGAAAATGAGTTGTATTTGGCAGCTGGTTTGGCTTGTCAACAGTGGAGTGGCTGCTCAGCTGACTAGAGCCTCAGGACAGAAAGTATGCAGACAAGAGGGACACATGGCTGGGGCCTCACCTGGGGAGGAACACCGGCTTCTGGGACAGATGCTCGCGCAGCTCTGGGGACGCAGAATCTGAGTTCAGGTATCTGCCCACGTAGTCTGACCATCTCTGTGGAGGACAGAGCAGAAAAAAATAAACATGCGTTGCATATTCAGTAACATACAGTAGGGGTGACGACATGACAAGTTTGTTATGCTCTGCCATTTCTCCTCTAATCGTCACGCTGTAACCTGTGACAGGCTGTTATGATACCACAACTATCACACATTCACATACATGGAGTTTTTTTTTTGAGCCGCGAGTTACGTAGGTTTACACTACCAAAGATTTATGACAAAATCACTGGACGAAAACGAATCCTGCGTGTGCATGGCAAGAGAGAAGAGGGAGAGACGCTGTGCTGCTGCCAGAGGAGCCACTGAATGAGTTCCCTCTGAGCTGTAAGTCACTAAAAGAGTCTGATAAGTCCGGGGCTGTTCATAAAACATTCAGGACGCCACAGTTTATTCCACACTACTGAAGCTGCTCCTCTTTTTGGAACCATCGTGGAGTCGGTAGTAATTTTTCTTTCAGCCATGGTTGTTGTTGCTGTGGGTAACAGTATGACGTCAAGTGTCAACAAGTGGAAATACTGCGAGTATCACGATATGAATTTTTTATATCATAATAAAAATGAAACCAGTAGGATCAACACTGATCCCCAAATTGTTCCCAACTGCTGTACCATGTGTGAATGTGTATGAGTGTGTACCACCACCAATTGATGTCAATTTGGAGGACAAAGATATTACACGTAATGCAAAACAACTCTTGCCTCAGAAAACAGTCATAGCAGTCATATTATTAGCAAGAACGTTGTACTGAGTAACACAGGATGTACCTAATAAACTGACAACTTTGTGTATCATTGTAATGAGTCTTACCTCTGCCTCTGCCGGCTCGTCAGAGTTCACCTCTTCTGTGTCGAGCAGCTCCATGGCCAGACTGACTGATCCTCGGCTCTTTATAAACATCAACTAAACAAGGAAGGAAGTGACGTATTAACAAAGTGTTCTGAGTTGTTCAGACTGATGTACGATATCATTGTTACTCTGTGGGCGTGTGGTACCTTGAAGCAGTTCTCATCGGACATTAGCTGCTCTGCTTTGCGCTGGTAGGCCCCCTCTGCTGTGGCCCTGGATGTCTGCGTGGACAGCGAGCCCCCCGTGGCTTTATTGGCACTTTCGCTTAGGTACATGTCCGTTACGCGCGCACATACATCATCGGTGACGAGGTGCTGGAGCTGTGGGAAGCAACAAGTTCAGTATGCAACATCTGTGTCAACAAGTGACGATCATCTATCGCAGAGTCTAAAGATATTTTATTTTTGTACATGTTGGAGCTGGCCTGCATGCTAAACAATAACTCAACAGACATGTTTCCTTATGGTCTCGCTGTGCCTCTCTTGTTCTGTTTATCTCAATTCTTTTTCTTAGCGTGCAAATGTGCATTTGTTTTAGCTCACTGTGCACTGCGTGACATGACAATTATAATCAATAAATCAAATCAAATGATATAATCTTGAGCTGACCTGCCGGACGATGCTCTGGATGAGTTTGTCCATGGTGAAGGCAATGTAGGCATGGATAGTGAACATTTCCCTCAGGGAGTCCTCGTACTGAGCCGGCTCCATGTTCCCATCCAAAAGATTACGCACCATTTCCAGAAACACTGAGTAATAGTCCTCGACATCAACATCCACTGCAGGCAGAAACAAAGTACATGTGTTGAGTTACATGGTGAGATATTATAAAGTACGCTATACCATGGTTGTACAGAGGAATCAAAGTCAATGTTACGGAGGATTTTAGTGAGCAGATGAATCTGTGAGCTCATGTTTTATTTCCTCTGGTAGATGATTCTGGTCACCTACAGTTCAGATTTCCAAAGCCCTGTTTACACCGAGCAGTACAGTACAGTACAGTTCAGTTCAGTTCTGCGCATGTTTTTTCCATCTCCACTGTGAAAAGTTGTGGATGGTACCAATGGAACCGTTCTGTACCGTCCCCATGTTTGGTCCCCCCTCTGTTGGGGTACCTAGCACACAGATCTGGTACTAAAAGGTGGAGCTGTGAACACTGCAGTCTGATTGGTCAATAGAGGACGGTCACTCTGCTCAGGGCTGAGTTGTGGCTGGTTTTGTAACCACTGTTCATACCGTGGCACGTCTTACATACATAAGTAAACTATAGTTGTAAATTGAAAGTACGTTTTGCTGCCTCTTGCAGCAGCTGTAGTTGGAGAAAATAACTTAATTCACTGGACCGACTGCCGGCAACTTTTAAGGTGGAACATTTATTTGTAATGTTACTGAATGCATGAGTTGACGACATGAATCCATCTACACACCTTAAATTTCAACATGACTATTTTGTTCTGAAAATGTCTGCATGCAGCCTTGTGCTGTGGATGATAAACAAGGTGCAGACTTCCATCTGTGTCACTGATAATGAGGAAATACAGTGAGTGCTGGACAGAGCAGTGAGTGACAACAACCCCGCCCACATTTAACAGTATTGTTTGCGGTGGAAACGCTAGGGTCTAGGTACGATGTCTGAAGGTACCATACTGAAAGTGTTTGGTGGAAACAGTGCTTATAGTGAGCATAAACCAAGCTAAGTAAAGAAGAGCACTGTTGAGGCAAAACTCATGTAAAAAATACATATAGATTCTGAATGTGTGAAACGGTTTATGAGCGTGTGACATTCCCAGAGGAGTAATTCTTAATATTTACTACCATCCAGTCCTAAGCACAGTCCTAACCAAGAGAGGAACAGTCGTCACTCTCATGTTATAGACATATTATGTTGTTATCTTTTAATTAAAAATTGTTAACCTGTATGCCCTCAGTGTAAATTTGACCCTGCGGTATCAAAAATTGGTCTTGAATATCAATATTTTTTAAAGCTACTGTATAGAAGTTAGGAATTGTATAGTATGGTGACAAGTTAAAGTACTATTTTCGAAATTTGATGACAAAAACATGAACACTCGTTCACACACGTAGCGTTGCTACACCATAACAGCTGCACACTGTAGTCTTGTTTAAATCTGTTGATGCTCAGAGCTGTGCCACACGTTGCTCTAACTGCAGCAATTAATAAAGCTTCTTAAATTAAAAATGAACTCAGAGGTTCCAGACTAACTCACAATGAGGACTGGACAGATTTTATGGTAAAACTTAAACATTAACAAAACTGAAACCACTTGTTTTCACACTTACTTGGCTCCTTCATCTTCAACTGGATCGCTGGATTTTCATTTTTCTCCCTCTTGAGCCCCAACACTTCTCTCTCCCACTCTCGCTCACGGGCATCCTCCTCAATCTGTTTCTCAGCCTGCCCGTAGATCCGCAGTAAACGAGAGCAGAGGATGTGGTGAAGACGGAGGAAGATGTACCAGTAGTTGTTCACGTAGAGCATGTTATAGGCATCGTCCGTGCCCCGCAGCTTCTGTGCTGCAGTGTTGCTGAAGAGGAGCTTGGACTTCGATGGGCTGCTGCCTGGCAGGCCATTGTGCTTCTTGGGGCCGTCTGGATCCATCTCCATGGCTTCTTCCTCCTCTTCTTCCTCCTCCTCCACATCAGAGAGCTCACCTCGCCGTGCAAACAGCAGGTCAGGGATGAAGTGGTGGATGATCTGTTTGATCTTGTACTTGTCTTCTTTCTGGATGCCCACCTGTCTTTTGACATGGTGGATGATGAGGGCGGCAGCATCCTCCAGGATTTGGCTGTCTTCATAGGTCACGGTCATGTGAGGGCCGCTCGGGGGCAGTGTGGCAGTTTCATCTGATGCTCGCTCCTGGCGCTGCAGGACACAGACAGGAGTTGATTTGACTACATTTTGACAATATCACTACGAGAGCAAAACATTTACACGAGCTAGTGTCCAATTTAAAGCTTCAACACATAAACTCAATTGTGTTGTAAAAACTATTACTGTATCAAAATCAGCACCAACAACCAACGATCACAATGAGCAGTTACATTTTCCTTCATAAATAATTAAATTATTGTCGAGAGAAAACTTACGTCATCATATAGCATCTCAATTTCATTGAGTAAGGTCTTTGAACGCAACACTTTGGTGTCATTCTGCTTGAAGTTGATGCCTTGATGGTCCAGTGACTTCAGGTAATACTTTTCATTCTGCTCCCGCCAGATCTTATTGAAGCCTCTCTGTGCTTCTCTCCACTCCTCCTCCTTCATTTTTAATCTGAAACCGCAACATAAAAAAACGTGATGCACAACCTTAAGTGTTCAAATCTTATCAAAGCTCTGATGAGAAACTAAAATCAGACTATTAACCTTTTCAGCACTATGGGGACAGACACAGCTGGGTTTTTCTTGAGCCCGTCGATGATGTCGTGGGCCTTGTCTCCATATATCCTCTGGATAGCTTTGCGGTGAATGACCTCTGAGGAGCCGCCCATCGTGTTGTCCAGCTTGAAACGCAGTTGCTCCTCAGCTGACATGCGAGACAGCCTCCGCTGCACCGTCTCCAGGGCTCGTATCGTGGCGAGGTTGGCTTCCAACACGACGTCCAGCTAAAGCAGGGGAGATTATTGACAAATAAGTTTATCCATGTCTGATTGTGTCTGCCGGTGTCGGCAGCTAGGTTTTCATTTGAAGGCTTTTCTCTGGTCTTTGGAGGGAAATAATATATTCTTCACACCACACAAGAACCTTCAATATTTACTCTGAAGTGTGAGTGGACTTTGTGTTCCTCACCTCAAAGCGCTCATCCTCACATCTATAAATGTGCTCCTCATATTGAGTCTTCTTGGAGCTTACAAATGTAGAATCCTCAGACCATGATGGAAACGACACCCACGTGTCATTGAGAACCTGCAGGAGGACAGGAAGTTTAATTTAAATGTCATTTTTGCAAAGCGGTCACGTGCTGCGGGCACAAACATCATAAACCACAAACAGCAGGACAATTCGACTTTCTCATTTTACTGGTATATGTTGTCCAGGAAATGTTGATAACAAAAGCTCAAAAGCATTTCCTGTGAGAGAGGATAAACAGGTCATCATGACAAAGATAACATTTTATAAGCACGTGTCCTTCAGTGACTCACCTCTCTGCACAGCGGCGTCCTTCCTGTGCACTTGGGCTGCTGGTAGCTCTTCGGCAGTGCTCTATAGCTGGACCCCAGCCTCTTGCAGGAAGCGTAGTCAATCTCCATGGCGATGCCCTCTGTTGCACGCTCCTTGGGTAAACTCTCTGCGTGGCTCGACTCCCCGTGACTTGACTCTCGGTACCCCAGGAAGTTTTTAAACCATGTAAAAAGCTCTGGGAATTTTCTGTTGATCGAGGCGCAATGAACGGGAAACAAACAATTAGAGATACGGCCAGGTGGTTGTTTTATCTTATCTTCAGTTTTATCAAAACTATATTTCATTAAAATCCAAATCTGTCCGGTTCAACAAGGTCATGTTATATCAGGAAAAAAAAACCCATTGCTTTACTACAATACTCATTAAATACTTACACTAACCCACACTGAGGAGTAGCAAAATCATTGGCACAGTTGTACTTCATGTCTCCATAGTACAATTTAACTCACCCCAGAAACGGTATGACTAACTGGACCAGCTCCGCACGAGAGATTACTTCCTGGTTGAAAATATGAAGACACCGCAGGAAGTTGTCATACGCCTCAGAGCTCCGCAGAGCCTTCCTCACCTGTTAAAGTGTTTTCAGAAGTCACAAACATTAATGAACAAACTCTCCCTTGAGATGATTTCATCGTATCATTAACATCTGGTTATCATCAGGACTTAAAATTAACACACACTGGTGCTGAACATATCGACACTGACCTTCTCAAAGAACATAGTTTCAGTGCTGGTGCTGTGTTTGCCGATTTCAGTCACGCCATGGTCCTTTCCCAATATTTTGGGCTTCTTCTGCGAGGGTTTAAGGACGTGACAAAATCACGATTGGTGCAGCAAAATTTTATATTTAGAAAAACTGGTAAATGTTGGTGGTGCTGGTACATTTAAATACAACCAGTTTATCTGGTAAATGCAGTTAAAACCAAAATAAACTATTAAAGCAGCACTACAATAGCTTCTATTTTTATGTAGGTGCTGCTGAACTGTATTTGTGAGGTGTTAATAATATTTAACCTTATTAATATAAACTGAGCCAAATCGCCTTTGCAGCATATTGGCATTTCTGACATCTATAGTAAAGAAGTAAGAAACGAACAGCTGTATAAATTTGAACAGAACGTAGAGGTGTGTGTACCTTGACAGGTGGTGTTGCTCCCACTCCAGCAGGCCTCCTGATTGGCAGGCCGTTCTGGCTCAGTCTCTGCTTGTTGTTCAGTAAGGGTCTCTTCACTGTGCCGCCGTGGTCATTGCGCACTGACTCTGCCCTGTCTGGTGTGGTCTTTCCAAGCAGCTGAGAAGAGCATTACACATTATAACCTCACCAAAGACGAGTCACAAAAAAATTGCAGGAAGCATTAAAATAATTTTTGGTTAAATATAATCAACTATTGTAGAAGCTAAATACAAGACGGAGAGTCTTTCCTGACAGGATAAGACGCAGTGAGGGCACTAAAACAGATAGTTCGGATCCTTTAAAGTGGGGTTGTATGAAGTACGTAGCCATAGCCGATGTATTACAAACAGTTACATGATTTTTTTAGGTGGCTAAAACATTTTGCTGCTGCCCCTCTCTACAGCAGTACATTGCTTAGCTTTAGTGATGGCACTCCTACCTGCTTCCCAAAACCAGGGCGAGCTGACAGGAATCTACTGTAGCTAATATACTGACTTTGGATAAGTACCCCATACAACCTCACTTCAAAAAATTCAAACTATCCCTTTAATAAATGTAGAAAACTTTAGTGTTTAGGCAGTGGTTTCAGTTCATTCAGCTTACCACTGACACCAAAAACAGCACAACCCCTAATTTAAAATACTTATTAGTAATAATAATTATAAGAAATATTAAAGAAAGACTACACCAGTGTATATGGGTATTTAGTAGTGTTGTTGATGGATTCAGGTCTACATGTTGTGTTATAAATTTGCATAGTGACTGCCCTCTACTGGCTGAAATCTTGCTATTGTAACTGTATTTTGCTATTGGCTGATCTGATGGCAGATAACATACAGTGGTGGAAAAAAGTTTTCTGACACCCCATGCATTTGTGAAATATTGCATTAAGAATCACTCTTAGGTCTTCAAGTGGAATTTCTTTTAGTACAGTCACAGCCAAAATACTAAATAAATCCTAAAAAATCCATTAAAAACTTAAAATTGATTGGTTCCATAAAAATACATAAGAAATTTTGAGTATTGGGTCATTTTGGTACCAGTGATGAAGGTCGTTCTTTTTATTAAAAGACACAATTTTTGTTGCCATGCTTCGTGTCTACATAAAGCCAGCACATTTGAAAGTTCTTCAGACACGAAAATGGCTAAAACAAGGAACCTAACTCAGGAAACATGCCTGAAGATAAAGATTCTCAGCCAGGAAGGGTACAGCTGCCGCCAGATAGCCAGGAAGTGCAGATGCAGTCCTTCAGCAGTTGGATACACTCTGCAGAAATACAGACGAACCAACAGCTTGGAAGACAAACCAAGATCTGGGTGTCCAAGGGTTTCTTCAGCAAGAAATGACCGCATCCTGATCCGCATGTGCAGGCAAAACCGCCGAATGACATCACAGGAGCTTCAGCAGCAGTGGTCAAACCAAACTGGTGTCCAGTGTTCCACCCGCACTGTACGTGGCTGACTTTTAGATCATGGCTTAAGGTCCTACAAGGCTATCAAGAAGCCCCTGATCAATGAGAGACAGAGGTTAGCCCGGCGTCGTTGAGCCCAGGCACACAAGAACTGGACAGCCAGGAATTGGAAGAAGATTTTGTGGTCAGATGAGTCCAGTTTCCAGCTTTATCTTCCTCGTACTAATGTGAGGGTACGCAGAAGGCCAGGCGAAGCATTATCTCCAGCATGTACAGTACCTACTGTCAAGCATGGTGGAGGCAGTATCATGGTTTGGGGATGCATGAGTGCTGCTGGTGTTGGTCATCTCACTGTCTGTGATGGCACATTGAACTCTACCAAGTATTGTACCATTCTCGAAACCCACATGCTCCCTTCTGTGCGTGCACTGTTCCGTCGAGGTAAAAACTGGATGTTTCAACAAGATAATGCCCCTTGCCACACATCCAAGGCCAGTAGAACTTGGCTGCAGGAGCACAGTATCCAGGTCTTAGAGTGGCCAGCTCAATCCCCGGACATGAGCCCCATTGAAAATCTGTGGTGGATTATCAAAAGATCTGTTTCAAAGCATAAACCAAAGAATTTAGAAGAATTAAAAGCAGTAATTCAAGAAGAATGGGACAAGATTACCCCTCAACAGTGTGAAAGGCTCGTGGGGAACATGCCAGCCAGGATTAGAGCTCTACTACGTGCCAATGGCAGGACTACTAAATATTAATTTGATGATGTGATGGTTTATTTATTTTTTGTTCAGTTTTGAACACATTCTCTGTTATTTGTTGACTTTGATACCGACAATGTTGAGAACTGACATATTGAAACTGTCAAGAATTTAGTTTTGTTAGTTTTTCTTGTAAACAATAAACAAAAAAATATAATTTGTATTTGTTTGTATCTGTCTAATGCAGCCACACCTTTTGAAACACAAAAAAGATTTTTCCACAAATATTTCATGATAATATTTGAGATTGTGTAAAATTTTAAGGGTGTCCGAAAACTTTTTTCCATCACTGTATGTGGTGTCAGCTTTTGTCACGAACCAGCCACTGCTAAAAAACATAAAATGTGTTCCTGTGTTGTTTCAGTGATATTTACTTATATTTACATCAACACTATTAGACTGCAAATTTTTAACACAACACAGTCAGGAACAATCACAACACAAACCATTTTAGTTTGTTCACAGAGACTCACCATTGAGCTGTTTGCATCTGGAAGGAACTGTCCGAACTCTGAGAGCAGGTCCTCCTGGTTCTTGAAGAGTCTTGCCACCTGAGTGTAGACCTCCTGCTCAGTCAGCGCTGGAGTGTAGTTTCCTCCTGCTTCTTTAGCATTTCGTTGCTCCTTCTGGAAAATGTATCAATAAAAAAGATCACGAGATTGACACTTGGTATATGCCATTTTCTTCTGGGTACCGGCAGCCCTGTTTATGATAAACTGCCTGAATCATTTTGTGTATTTTCCTACCTGGTATGTGTGAAGGATTTCCAGGAAGGCTTTGTAGATGTCAGGCTGACCCTGGAAGCGGTTCTTGATCTTGTTGACATAATTTATAGCGTGGTTGAACTCCACTGGCTGGTTGTTCTGGAGAGGTGGCCCACCGGACGGCGTGCTGCTCACAGGAGTGTGGGACTGAACCGAAGGTGAGCGCGGTGAGGCGTAGGATGGGATGGATGGGTTGGGCTGGCTGGTGGGTGTGTGGGCTGGAGACTGAATTGGCTGAAGGGATTGACAGAAAAGAGTACAAGCATGTCATTACACTCGTTCAGCAAAGATTCAGTTTGGTGTGCAAAAAAAAAACACATTAGCAATATCTCTAAAACAAATCTAATAATTAAAGACAACCAGTGGGGTTTGCTCTATAACCACATAACATATGGACCAGTATAGAAGCACGTATGCTACCTTGCTGGTTTTACTTGGAGCAGGTTGGGTGGAGGTGGGCGGGGTGTTGGTGGTGGTGGTGGTGGTGGTGGTGGTAGTGGTGTGCGGCCCAGCCTGTGGCAGACTCTGGTGCTGGTTGTGGCTCGCAGCTTGGCTGGGCGCTCCAGTAACAGGGATGTTCTGAACAGAAATACCATGAGGGGTGATGTAGTGGATCTGACCCGGCGTGGTCACGTTGACTAGATCATTAGTTTGAACTTCAATCTTATATCCGGGTGGCAGGAAAGTGTTAAAACCCATGATGAGGTCCGGATGGCCTTTGAAGAGCTGGGACACGCGGTTGATGACTCCAGGCGTGTCTATGCTGTAGTGACAGAATGAAAGATAGGAATTTAGCGACTGATTCACCTTCACCTGGGTCCACAGATATATCCCAGCAAGCATTTTTTGGTTTAAAAAGCATCTAATAGCTGTCTACATGAAGACCTGATGTCTAGGCTAAATCACGGCTGAATTTGGGCTGTCAGTGAAAATTTGGTAGATGTCTAACCATAGCCAAAGTGTAGACGTCATCAGTTATACAGCTATGTAGAGACCATGTCCAAAAAATGGAGATAAACATATTTTAATTTCTGTTGACTCTCCATACGTGATTGAATATCATACCGCACGCCATCTGCAATGGCGAAAATTACATTTAATCAATTTCAAAATTAAATTGGCTAGATTTGGGTTACATGTAGTTAGACTAAATCTGAGCTAAATATAGCCAATACGTTTAAATCACGACTATTGCTTGCTGGGATTGTTCTGTGTGCTATATGTTCAATCTTGACAAAGAGCAATATTACTTATGGATTTTCTCCAAATGTTGCCAATAAACCTAGAACTTACCTCTGTGACTTGAACTCTTTCATGATATCAAGGAAATCATTATAAACTTGTGGCTGATTTCCAAACTGCAGCTTCACTTGATCCAGATAGGACAAGGCATCTTCAACCTACAAAGTAAAGAGCAAAAAAAGTGTAACCAACTCGGGGCGCTGGCAGGACACCGGCTGACGCAACAGTTCATTTTTGAGGTAGTAGGACACTGTACGCAGGAGTGAGATGGCATATCACTCATATCCTAACATGACATTTCCTGTTGCCAGTAGGTGGCGCTGTACTCATTACTAAATATTGGCATATGGATGTGTTCAGGGCAGGACTGTCATCAATCGTGTGAAATTTGGGGAAGATTGGACCGTGTATGCTGGAGTTACAAACCACTTCCTGTTTCATGGTGACACATGCAAGCTTTACACCTTGGCATTACCACATGGACTGACGAAAACTCAAGCTTGTAATAACTTTTCTTCTTCAAGGTCCTCTCGGAGGGACAGACCAACATTTTAAGTCAATCGCATAAAATCTCTAGGACTGGTTCGTTAAAGAACGAGCCCTGGAAATGGGCAACAATACAGGCAGAGTAAATTCAAAATGGCCGACTTCCTGTTGGGTTTAGAGAATGGGTACAAGAGGCTTTTTTGTATGTCTAAGAGTGTTACATGTGCCTACCAAGTATTGTACACGTCGGTCAAACCTGCTTTGGGGGTTGTGTTGTCAAAATATTGTAGGGGGTGCTACTGAGCCATTTTTTTTGCATGCGTGTGTGTGTGTGTGTGTGTGTCTGTGTGTACCTTCAGTCGCTGAAACTGCTGTCCTTGGGTTGAAGTCATGGGTGCAGGTGGGTGAACGTGACCTTGGACCACTGCAGGGCCCTGGGACTGAACTGCCAGGCTGTGTGCGTGGGGACCAACATGAGGTGCAGCGTTGTTATGTCCATGTCCGTGTCCATGTCCACTTGTGCTCTGAGGCATTGTAGGCACCTGTGTTTTTGGGAAGAAATTACTGGATGTCAGCATCGATAAAGCTTGTTTTCTGTGGGGTTACAAAAAGTCCTTTATGTATTATTAAAATGACACTGAATAAAAGGTACATCTTAAAACTGCATCTACTCTTTAATAATATTCGGTTCATCTGTAAAAATCTGGGATTCATCAGTGTTTTCCTGAATTTACCTGAATTTGTTAGTACTCTAAACTTGCCTCAGACCACGCACACGTACAAATGATGTAGGCGTAGCGTATTATAATTATTGAAAAATGCTTTAATAAACAACAATATTTAAAACTGTTGATTTACTGATGCATTGACAAAATGTCGCCTATTAAATAGCTATAAAATTAAAGCTCCATTATCCTCCTAAATGACTGTAATAATTACAATACTAAACTAAAACATAAACTACAACATGACAAAGGTATTAAAATAATCAGCAAGAGGGAAACAAATGTTCTTCTACACCTATTATCAGTGCTACAGTTCTGCAGTAATTTATTTATTACTTGTCTTTGATGTACTACAAATGCACCTATATTCTGAGCACTGCGGTGGCTCCCTGAGATTTTACACACAACTAGATTAAAATCAAACATTTTCTATGGTGATGATGTCATCTGTAATGACAGACGCACAAAGTAAGAACATTTCTGTGTGACTATTTGTGAATGAGGCCCAAACTTTGGGCAAAATAAGCTGCAGAACTCTAAAGTCTTGTCTTTCATCCTCTAAAGGTTTTGTTCTAATGTGGCTTCTGACTGTAAATAGCAGCCACTCCTGCTCCTGTTAGGCTGTTGTCCGAGTTGAATACACTGATGCCATCATACCTGGTAGCCTTGGGGGAGAGAATACTGGATGCCAGTTGATGGCTGCATGTTGTCTGCAGCTGCCTCTATCACAGTAGGGGCCGGGGCGAGGGCCCGGTGCTGGAAGCTGTCTGCAATGCCTTGAACTGGGGGGCGACGTGCTTGCTGTTGCTGGGGCGCAAATATTGGTTCCTGGTCCTCCACACGCCTCTTCATTGTACACGCATACTCAACGGAGCTGAAGTGGACACAGACAGATGGAAAGTAAACAGGCTGTTTGGTTTTAATCAGTCTCTGAACAAACCTATCAAGGATTCTCTAAGAATGTGCATCTTATTTCTTTAGCAAGAACTAGCCGAAGACAGTAACACTTTTACAAATCAAATTTAATACAAAAGAGGTCAGCTTTTATGTCAGTCCTAGTAAAGTAAATTATTCCTGCTTAATTCCCACTGATGTCCAGTATCACAGTTACACCTACACATACTTCCCTGATGTTTGAGAATTGCCGATCGTTCTTGTTAATTTGTCTGCACTCTCTCTGATTATTCAGTGTCAATCTAACTAGAATGCTGATTAAAAGCCTAGACGACAATAAATGCACGGCAAGTTACTCTTAAAATTAGCTCATTAAAGAGGGTGTGATGGTGACTGCACTGTGCTTAAACTGAACCTTTTTTAAAACTTCACACCACTGTCTCCTCAGCTGTGACGCAGTATATTGTTTGTTGAAGGTGTACCGACTGCATCGCAAACAGTGTAAATGGTCCGTATACACTTACATAACAAACTACACATTGTGATGTAAATGTAGAAAGTGTATAACAAAAGATTTTTGGGCTGATTGTCTCAGAGAGGAGTTGATTTAACTCTACAGTCACTGTGGAAGCACTGAAAAGTGATTCACTATAATGTAATCCCATAAACTCTGCCCAAAGTATCACACAGGTGCTTAATGGCAGAAAACATGGACATTTGTTGAATGTTACCAACTAACTTAAGAGTCAGTCTTTAACCAGAGGCTCTAAAAACGATACAGAAGTATAGATTGTAAAAGTTCTGAGTTAAAATATGACAAAAATGTGACAGGTCTTGTCTGTGTAAATACCGGTAGTTAGGCTGAACAGCCTCGGGCTACAACAGTGGCATTTGGATATTTTCAAAAAAATGCAAATTACAAGCAAGAAAAAAAAAGTAAAAACCAAAGCGAAATTCATGCCCATGAGCATCGCGTGTCCATAAATAGACGTGCCATCATTGTTCAGCAGAATGGCTGTTACAGCTGGTTAGGGACCGTCTGTCAAGTAATAGGCACGGCTGCTACGGGGCTTCTTCCTCCTACCATTAGGCTACAATGACGTAACCAGCTATCTGTAACTTAACAGATGAGTAATAACCACAGTGTTTAATTCCCATATTGTGTCTCCCGACTGTGTTGTATTATATAATTTGGTACAACTGAAGGCTCTGTATCAAGACAAATGTTTTTATTACCACTTTTCACACTACAAAGTAAGGATGAGGAACTCACAGCTGTGACTGGAGATGTATAATTGGAAAGAACATGGTGCCTGAGTACATTTACTGATGCTATAAAATCTCACTTTGAGTTTAAAACATTTTTTATGCACTGGCTGGTGTGCACACCATCTTTTAGAGAGTGCTTTTAAACATTCCTGTTTCTTCTGCAACTCCATTTGATGATATTAAAGGATCTTTCAATAGGTGGAACAAAACTGAATATAATTTAAGTAATACAGATAAAGTATGACTTTTGGTCCCATAGCGTGAGGCTCAGGGAACGCTTTATTCCATAGGTCTTAAGAATTTTGAACTCTAGCTCTTGAGGACATCGCCACAAGTGTCCCTTAACCTTTATACACTTTTACTTCCTGTTTTACATCTCTGTATATACAGTATATATTTCTTACTTCCCTTTATGCATACATATTTTCATTTTTCTCCATTTACATTAGTTTATTCACTATTCAATAACTGTCGACTACAAACATATATCATTTTATATGTTACATTTCACCCCTATGTTTTAATTTCCCACTACTGCATGTTCTAGATTTTTCTTTACTGACATGATTTTCTTTTAATACATATTTAGTGAGCATTGCTGGCGGGAGCCCAAGAGATTATATTCTCATTGCTAGTGACTGCTTCTCTGTAAGAGTTATGCATATGACAATAATTTGAAGCTTGCTGTGAATAACATTAAAATGCATAATAATGTACAGAGACTGTACAGAAATGTACTATGTTTTTAGATTTATCATTTTTAACAATTTGTAAACAAAAGAAAATATGGAGTGGAAACTATTGACTGATACATAAATACAACACATACATACATACTGCAGAAACATTACAAAAAATAACACCCAGTACTAGAGCCTCCATGTTGCCCATCTGGTACATTATAGTTGGATGTTTACACTTATTTTATCAAGATGTGGATTTTCCATCTTCCATGCCACTTAAAGATAACTTAATATAATGTATGCATTGTGAACTAAGGGACATGTCAGGTTTATGAGTTTATGCACAGACACTGATCTACACAGCTGTCTACAATATTTTCATATCCACCACAGTAAACACAGTGCGACAGTGCTCTGGAAAAGACACATCTTTGTTCAGTAAGGTATAAAAAGCAGGGGCAGTCCGTTAATTTTATTATTATTACTTTATTTTTTACCATGCAATAATTGGTGCCATAATTCAACTGCCACAATATTCTGGGCAATCATTCATCTGTGTAATATTCTTAACACCTCTTGAATGTTCTCGTCTTTATTCTATTGACGTATATAATGTAGTAACCACTATAGCATGGTACATGATTTATATTTCTGAATGTAACACTAGTTCATATAGTGTAATGTAGCACAACTTTTTTTCTTAATATCTTAAGTACTGGTGTTAACGTTGTAGCATAATGCACATTTATTTCCATTTTATTGTATCATATTACTTAAATGTACATACTTCTTTTTCATTATAATTCTCTATTCTTTAAACTGGAGCAACTGTAACGAATCACTACTTCCACTTGGACTCAAAGTATTTCTGATTCTGTTTCCTACCCATTCATTCATTAATTTTCCGTAACAGCTTATCCTGTTAGCAGTTGCGGGGGGGCTGGAGCCTATCCCAGCTGACATTGGGCAAGAGGCGGGGTACACCCTAGACAGGTCACCAGACTATCACAGGGCTGACACATAGAGACAGACAACCATTCACATCTACAGCTAATTTAGAGACACCAATTAACCTGCATGTCTTTGGACTGTGGGAGGAAGCCGGAGTAAACCCAGGGAAAACCCATGCTGACACGGGGAGAACATGCAAACTCAGTGAGCTGAGTTTGCATACAAAGTGTCAGCACATGTTCCTGGTGGTTCAAATTCTGGGTTTGAACCCGTTAACCCTCTTTCTGTGGGGCGACAGTGCTAAACACTGCAGTGCCGCCAACCCATGAAGGCTCAAATAACCTAATTCCATGATACTTTTTTTGGTTCGAAATATGACTTTTCTATTTTCAGTTTTACCTTTTGTATTTACCAGGATATCTCTCAACTTTATAGTATAGATTTAAAAATTATTTAAAGCGTGTGTAATCAGAATCAGAAGTACCTTACTGATCCCCAAGGGGGAATTATGCTTCATTACAGTTTCTCCATTGTAAAGAATAGAGAAGATGGCAGAAGTAAGAATAAGAGTACAAAAGAAAGTGTGTGAATATAGAGCAATAAATAAAATTAAGTGGAAATGTACATTAAAATTGAAATAAAATGTGTCAGCAAAGAAACTCGTGGCTACACGCTGGAAACATTCACATTCACTTTCTTTCCGTGCATGGATTCTGACATATTTGGACATTGTGCATTTGGAGCTGTCGACTGCTCAAGTCCACAGAGCACAAGAGGCAGTAATAGTGGCTTGACAGTCACTTTCAACTAACCTACGAAGCCTCTTGGCGTGATACTGTAGAGGAGATAGGGTCCTGGGTCCAGGGAGGGGAGGGTGAGGCGTTTCCGGGGCGTTAACATTCATCTTAATTTTATTTTGTTTGTAATTTCTGTCATTATTTCACCTGATTATTTACTTATTTTTCCTTTAATTGTATTCATATTTATTTTTCTTGAGTGGAAATTGCTGCATATATTATTCACATCTGTACTCACACTGTTCGTCCATGCTATAATTCTGTTTCTTTTTTTTAAAAACTTTTTATTTATGCTGTGCAATTCATACCTTCATCTTTTCACAAATAAGCATTTCGCATTTCTCTTTAACTTTGTATGAATTTAAGTAAAGAAAAAAACAACAACAGTACAATAAATCAAATACCCAGTACTAAAAAAAAAACAAAAAACAAAAAAAAAAACAACAACTAAATATACAATAAGCGTGCAAGCGACAAAGATATAACCATTTTATGTTTTTCGTACAATTTCTCTTTTTTTTCCTTTTTCCTGTTTCTTCTCTTCCTTTTTTCCTTTTCTTTCCCTCTCTTCCTTCCCCTCCTTCCCTTACTTTAGTTACAGGGCTCAAAAGTAATATTTTACACCGATAGCATTACTGCCATAAAATTTTAAATTAGTAGCATAGCACTTCGTTTAGTTGTGCAAGAAAGAAAAACAGAGAAAAAAATAATAAATAAATAAATATAATCCTGTTTTTCAATAAACAAAAATTTGATCACAACAAAAAAATAAAATTTGCATTATGCTACAATGTTTAACACTACATAATAAAATAAAATATTAAAGTAAATTTTCAAAATATACATGAGTGTGTGTGAGGCGTTCATTTAAAAATAAAACCATTATAAATATCTAATTTTAAGATTGCATAAAGATGTTTGGCCCCTGTCTGTGTTGCTCTCAGCACACTCTACACGTGTGCACAGAGAAGAGTAATTTATTGACGCTCCCTAAGCTAACGTCATTGCAGTCGGTCAGCGGAGAGCAGACATTGTGCCTCGCTGCCCTGCACCACCAGTTTCGGAAAACACGGTGGCTGAGCGAACGGTCTTGAGTCGCCGAGATCGAGTCTGTCGCACATCCAGCTTCAAATTTTCTTTACCGAAACGCGAAGCAAACACGACAGACAGTAAAAGATGGCGAAATTAGTCGACTAGCGCTACAAAAAAGCTAACATTTACAGTTTAAAGGCATGTAGGCGCTGTCTCTCTCTCTCTCTCTCTGTCTCGCTCGCTCGCTGTAGCCCTGCCTCATCCCCTCCCCCTCTCTGCCAAACACCGAGCTTAACGCCATCCGTTTTCGGTGAGCTGACCGCTTTCGCTTGTCTGATGGCTGACGTTGGCTTTCTTCCTAGCTCGAAGTTATGTGGCGAGCGAGCTAGCCTTAACGACCTGCAGATTAAAGGCTGGTTTGGGCAGGAAGACACAGCGAGTGTCGGTGGTCTGTCACTCGGGTCATCGCTGACCGTCCTCAGTAAATGGGACTTACTAAAAAAATCCAGATGAGCTGAACGTGTTGGCTGCCGTGCTGTTAGGTAGAAGACACCGACAAGAAAACAGCCAAGCTTCAGACACAGTCGGCTGCTGTAGTTTACAACACACGGGCTGCCGTTACACTAGGGTAGTTAAATAAAGTCACATTGTGATTAATTCTGCTAAGGCTAGCTCGTTAGGTCAGGAAGAGCGCTAGCTAGCTAGCAAGCTAGCACTAGCTTCCACACAACATTAACGTCGCATTAAGTTGAGCGAGAAGTTGGACAGAAGACTTAGCTGTCACACAAACCGCCTCCCCACCACAAACGTTTGTCTGATCAAAATCCCCGACATATGCAGTGAAACTAGACACAGCGAGAACAAACTAACAACAAAAATGCATGTTGTCAGGTCTGCTCAGCTTTAGCATGTCAGCTAATTCATGGTCGCCGCTATTAGCATGCTAGCCTTACTTAGACTAACTTATCGGCGTTGCAAGCTAACGTAGCCGCTACTGAAAGCCCCACATGTTGTTTTGTTGGAAGAGGAAAACACAGTAAAATATTTAGTCATCGCATAAAAGTAGCCAGTGTTAGATCGCTATCTGGTATGTTCGGCAAGGTTAAGTAGAAGCTAACTAAATGGCACGTTAGCACAACAACCAACCCCCATCAGTACAGGGTACCCTCGGCTAACAAGCTAGCACTAGTTTAACTTACCTCGTAGGACTGCCACCAGCAACAATTTGACGCACCAGTGTACCGGGACCCGACCAGTAAGCCGCTACTCGTGCATTCACCTGGCCGTGACGAAAAGTGAAGTTCCGAGAAGTGGTCGCGGATGGAAATGTCAAAAAATGAAATTGCCCGGAGAGGCTACGTCGCTAACAACAGTGTATGTATGAAGCGGTGTTCCTTGAACATAGAGGCGTGTCTAACATGAAGGCGGGTAGTCTCCTCCCAGTCTAAACTGGGATTGGTCCACTCTCCAGAATGAAAACAAATACAGTAAGGGCAGTGAGCCAGTGTCTTTGGTTAAAGGCGTCTGGTTTAGTTTATGGTCATGCCAAGTGCAGGCTGAGCTGCACCACAGCCTCCATGTTGCTCCTCTCATACATACTGCTAACATACACAGGTATAGATTAGCCGTCCTCCATGACACTTACAGATGAAACAGTACATGCATCATGAACTGGAGGACATGTCATACCTCAAAGCCTGTGACGTGTGAGTTTTTACACAGACACTGATCTACAGAGTGGTCTGCTACAGTGGTTCCAAACTGCTGGGTTTTTGTCCAAAAGTGGGTCGCAGGTCCATTCCGAATGGACCGCAAGTGACTCACAAACATGTCCAGCTTGTAAAAAACACACTTTATTTTGAAGCACAGTGAATATCTGGCACATTGCTTTTATTTCAAAGCACCATTTCCTGCTGTAGAGTGAGTGACGAACATACAGCTACTTGACAGAGACAGCAAACTAGCTCGACCACATGTCCAAATGCAAATATGACGCTGAATATATTAAACTGTGTGGACCCTGAACTAATGACTACGGAGAAATCTGGTCCAGTTGGGAACCACTGGTCTACTACATAGTTCCCAACCTTTTTCCTTAAGGGACCCCTTTTTATTTTTTAAAAAACTGCCCCCTGAGTAAGTGACATAACTAACTAACCCAAATAGTGAAAGCAACAACTGCAGGAAGTTTGTGTAAAACGAGAGATTTGGAGTTTGAGCAGATTATTTCCTGTTAATATTGCACATATTGCACAACAGATGAGTTCTCCTGATGTTTTAAGGACTTTTTAGTGTCTGAATTATGTACCTTTTTATTTTTTTATCAGTCACACATACCTAAAGGCTTCTTTTTTTTTTAGCTCTCTGCTAACTGCCTCTAATGGAAGATGAGGCTGTTAAACAGTGAGTGAAAGCTCATCAGTAGTGGTAAAAAAAGTTTACATCTTGAATAATAATCTGAACTTTAAAACCAACAATTTGATTTAGTTATTCTCACAGACATAAATAAAAAACTGAGATATAGGCCTACCGTATATATTTGTATACAGTTTTATTACACCCTTTATAATCCTCGTGACCCATCGTGACCCTTTAGCGACCTGCAGTTAGGTTGGAAACCAGAGGCCCACCATATTTACATCTTCACAGCAGTGAACACATAGTGGGAGACATTTTGTCATCTACCAAGGTATAGGATCAGGAGAGAGAGGTCACACTCGGTAAAAAGTACTTAATAAAATTATGTCAAGGTTGTTTTCTGAGACTATAAAATATATTCAAATCATTGTAAACCTGTGAGAGTTTCAACACTGACTTCAGGATCAGTCAACTGAAACTCTGACACCTTGATTTAACCCTAAACTCAATGATATTTTAATTTGAACTCATTGATTTTGGTGTGTTAATATTTGTTTATCATGCTGTTATCAGAGGTTTTATTTTAAATAAAACATCATTATTATATTATTTCAAATATAAAATGTTTTAAGTCACCTTTAAGCCAATATACTTTTTAAAATTGTTGGTTATATTTGTTATCATATGTGAACACTCTGTAGTGCTCTATAATAGACATTATTATCAGTGATAGTTGCAGTATAACATATATAAATAACATATTAATATTGTTATATTGCATAATATCAATGACTAATACATTATAAAGACATAAACTAATATTATAATGTATTAAAAAGATGCTTACGTACTCTTTCTTCTCGCCAATAACATTACACAGGATCCCACAGCCACTGAAAACCTTGAACCTAGAATTTTGCCATCACATTTTACAGGCCTGGAAAGGTCCTGGCATTGGTAAAGATAATTTAAAGTTTTGGAAAAATCATGGAATTTTTTGTGTGTAATGAAATTGTTATAGTAATCTTCCGGGAATATAGGCTAATTTATTTTCTGTAGCTGTCGACGCAGCTCAGATATGTGTCAGTGTTTCGTTAACCATCACAGCTTCTTCATTTTCTTCCCATGTTCCGTCTCTCCCTTCATGTGTGCCCGCTGCCTGAAATTATGTTTGAAAGAGTTTGAATCTGATATGTTTAAAAAAACATTGCACAAGTAGGACAAAGCCTGGACAGCTTTGTAACAAAACAGATCAATAAAACATAAAACTCAGTTCACATTTACGTTTAATAATATATTATATGTTATGACAACATGATAGAAAAATAGATGTTTTCATTTTTTACATTTAAGGTAAAGAGGGTTGTACAACACAATCATAAGCAAATTCTTACAGTCTCAGACAGGCTTTTTTTTGGCGGGGGGGGGGGGGGGGGGGGGGGTNACGTGATTGAATATCATACCGCACGCCATCTGCAATGGCGAAAATTACATTTAATCAATTTCAAAATTAAATTGGCTAGATTTGGGTTACATGTAGTTAGACTAAATCTGAGCTAAATATAGCCAATACGTTTAAATCACGACTATTGCTTGCTGGGATTGTTCTGTGTGCTATATGTTCAATCTTGACAAAGAGCAATATTACTTATGGATTTTCTCCAAATGTTGCCAATAAACCTAGAACTTACCTCTGTGACTTGAACTCTTTCATGATATCAAGGAAATCATTATAAACTTGTGGCTGATTTCCAAACTGCAGCTTCACTTGATCCAGATAGGACAAGGCATCTTCAACCTACAAAGTAAAGAGCAAAAAAAGTGTAACCAACTCGGGGCGCTGGCAGGACACCGGCTGACGCAACAGTTCATTTTTGAGGTAGTAGGACACTGTACGCAGGAGTGAGATGGCATATCACTCATATCCTAACATGACATTTCCTGTTGCCAGTAGGTGGCGCTGTACTCATTACTAAATATTGGCATATGGATGTGTTCAGGGCAGGACTGTCATCAATCGTGTGAAATTTGGGGAAGATTGGACCGTGTATGCTGGAGTTACAAACCACTTCCTGTTTCATGGTGACACATGCAAGCTTTACACCTTGGCATTACCACATGGACTGACGAAAACTCAAGCTTGTAATAACTTTTCTTCTTCAAGGTCCTCTCGGAGGGACAGACCAACATTTTAAGTCAATCGCATAAAATCTCTAGGACTGGTTCGTTAAAGAACGAGCCCTGGAAATGGGCAACAATACAGGCAGAGTAAATTCAAAATGGCCGACTTCCTGTTGGGTTTAGAGAATGGGTACAAGAGGCTTTTTTGTATGTCTAAGAGTGTTACATGTGCCTACCAAGTATTGTACACGTCGGTCAAACCTGCTTTGGGGGTTGTGTTGTCAAAATATTGTAGGGGGTGCTACTGAGCCATTTTTTTTGCATGCGTGTGTGTGTGTGTGTGTGTGTCTGTGTGTACCTTCAGTCGCTGAAACTGCTGTCCTTGGGTTGAAGTCATGGGTGCAGGTGGGTGAACGTGACCTTGGACCACTGCAGGGCCCTGGGACTGAACTGCCAGGCTGTGTGCGTGGGGACCAACATGAGGTGCAGCGTTGTTATGTCCATGTCCGTGTCCATGTCCACTTGTGCTCTGAGGCATTGTAGGCACCTGTGTTTTTGGGAAGAAATTACTGGATGTCAGCATCGATAAAGCTTGTTTTCTGTGGGGTTACAAAAAGTCCTTTATGTATTATTAAAATGACACTGAATAAAAGGTACATCTTAAAACTGCATCTACTCTTTAATAATATTCGGTTCATCTGTAAAAATCTGGGATTCATCAGTGTTTTCCTGAATTTACCTGAATTTGTTAGTACTCTAAACTTGCCTCAGACCACGCACACGTACAAATGATGTAGGCGTAGCGTATTATAATTATTGAAAAATGCTTTAATAAACAACAATATTTAAAACTGTTGATTTACTGATGCATTGACAAAATGTCGCCTATTAAATAGCTATAAAATTAAAGCTCCATTATCCTCCTAAATGACTGTAATAATTACAATACTAAACTAAAACATAAACTACAACATGACAAAGGTATTAAAATAATCAGCAAGAGGGAAACAAATGTTCTTCTACACCTATTATCAGTGCTACAGTTCTGCAGTAATTTATTTATTACTTGTCTTTGATGTACTACAAATGCACCTATATTCTGAGCACTGCGGTGGCTCCCTGAGATTTTACACACAACTAGATTAAAATCAAACATTTTCTATGGTGATGATGTCATCTGTAATGACAGACGCACAAAGTAAGAACATTTCTGTGTGACTATTTGTGAATGAGGCCCAAACTTTGGGCAAAATAAGCTGCAGAACTCTAAAGTCTTGTCTTTCATCCTCTAAAGGTTTTGTTCTAATGTGGCTTCTGACTGTAAATAGCAGCCACTCCTGCTCCTGTTAGGCTGTTGTCCGAGTTGAATACACTGATGCCATCATACCTGGTAGCCTTGGGGGAGAGAATACTGGATGCCAGTTGATGGCTGCATGTTGTCTGCAGCTGCCTCTATCACAGTAGGGGCCGGGGCGAGGGCCCGGTGCTGGAAGCTGTCTGCAATGCCTTGAACTGGGGGGCGACGTGCTTGCTGTTGCTGGGGCGCAAATATTGGTTCCTGGTCCTCCACACGCCTCTTCATTGTACACGCATACTCAACGGAGCTGAAGTGGACACAGACAGATGGAAAGTAAACAGGCTGTTTGGTTTTAATCAGTCTCTGAACAAACCTATCAAGGATTCTCTAAGAATGTGCATCTTATTTCTTTAGCAAGAACTAGCCGAAGACAGTAACACTTTTACAAATCAAATTTAATACAAAAGAGGTCAGCTTTTATGTCAGTCCTAGTAAAGTAAATTATTCCTGCTTAATTCCCACTGATGTCCAGTATCACAGTTACACCTACACATACTTCCCTGATGTTTGAGAATTGCCGATCGTTCTTGTTAATTTGTCTGCACTCTCTCTGATTATTCAGTGTCAATCTAACTAGAATGCTGATTAAAAGCCTAGACGACAATAAATGCACGGCAAGTTACTCTTAAAATTAGCTCATTAAAGAGGGTGTGATGGTGACTGCACTGTGCTTAAACTGAACCTTTTTTAAAACTTCACACCACTGTCTCCTCAGCTGTGACGCAGTATATTGTTTGTTGAAGGTGTACCGACTGCATCGCAAACAGTGTAAATGGTCCGTATACACTTACATAACAAACTACACATTGTGATGTAAATGTAGAAAGTGTATAACAAAAGATTTTTGGGCTGATTGTCTCAGAGAGGAGTTGATTTAACTCTACAGTCACTGTGGAAGCACTGAAAAGTGATTCACTATAATGTAATCCCATAAACTCTGCCCAAAGTATCACACAGGTGCTTAATGGCAGAAAACATGGACATTTGTTGAATGTTACCAACTAACTTAAGAGTCAGTCTTTAACCAGAGGCTCTAAAAACGATACAGAAGTATAGATTGTAAAAGTTCTGAGTTAAAATATGACAAAAATGTGACAGGTCTTGTCTGTGTAAATACCGGTAGTTAGGCTGAACAGCCTCGGGCTACAACAGTGGCATTTGGATATTTTCAAAAAAATGCAAATTACAAGCAAGAAAAAAAAAGTAAAAACCAAAGCGAAATTCATGCCCATGAGCATCGCGTGTCCATAAATAGACGTGCCATCATTGTTCAGCAGAATGGCTGTTACAGCTGGTTAGGGACCGTCTGTCAAGTAATAGGCACGGCTGCTACGGGGCTTCTTCCTCCTACCATTAGGCTACAATGACGTAACCAGCTATCTGTAACTTAACAGATGAGTAATAACCACAGTGTTTAATTCCCATATTGTGTCTCCCGACTGTGTTGTATTATATAATTTGGTACAACTGAAGGCTCTGTATCAAGACAAATGTTTTTATTACCACTTTTCACACTACAAAGTAAGGATGAGGAACTCACAGCTGTGACTGGAGATGTATAATTGGAAAGAACATGGTGCCTGAGTACATTTACTGATGCTATAAAATCTCACTTTGAGTTTAAAACATTTTTTATGCACTGGCTGGTGTGCACACCATCTTTTAGAGAGTGCTTTTAAACATTCCTGTTTCTTCTGCAACTCCATTTGATGATATTAAAGGATCTTTCAATAGGTGGAACAAAACTGAATATAATTTAAGTAATACAGATAAAGTATGACTTTTGGTCCCATAGCGTGAGGCTCAGGGAACGCTTTATTCCATAGGTCTTAAGAATTTTGAACTCTAGCTCTTGAGGACATCGCCACAAGTGTCCCTTAACCTTTATACACTTTTACTTCCTGTTTTACATCTCTGTATATACAGTATATATTTCTTACTTCCCTTTATGCATACATATTTTCATTTTTCTCCATTTACATTAGTTTATTCACTATTCAATAACTGTCGACTACAAACATATATCATTTTATATGTTACATTTCACCCCTATGTTTTAATTTCCCACTACTGCATGTTCTAGATTTTTCTTTACTGACATGATTTTCTTTTAATACATATTTAGTGAGCATTGCTGGCGGGAGCCCAAGAGATTATATTCTCATTGCTAGTGACTGCTTCTCTGTAAGAGTTATGCATATGACAATAATTTGAAGCTTGCTGTGAATAACATTAAAATGCATAATAATGTACAGAGACTGTACAGAAATGTACTATGTTTTTAGATTTATCATTTTTAACAATTTGTAAACAAAAGAAAATATGGAGTGGAAACTATTGACTGATACATAAATACAACACATACATACATACTGCAGAAACATTACAAAAAATAACACCCAGTACTAGAGCCTCCATGTTGCCCATCTGGTACATTATAGTTGGATGTTTACACTTATTTTATCAAGATGTGGATTTTCCATCTTCCATGCCACTTAAAGATAACTTAATATAATGTATGCATTGTGAACTAAGGGACATGTCAGGTTTATGAGTTTATGCACAGACACTGATCTACACAGCTGTCTACAATATTTTCATATCCACCACAGTAAACACAGTGCGACAGTGCTCTGGAAAAGACACATCTTTGTTCAGTAAGGTATAAAAAGCAGGGGCAGTCCGTTAATTTTATTATTATTACTTTATTTTTTACCATGCAATAATTGGTGCCATAATTCAACTGCCACAATATTCTGGGCAATCATTCATCTGTGTAATATTCTTAACACCTCTTGAATGTTCTCGTCTTTATTCTATTGACGTATATAATGTAGTAACCACTATAGCATGGTACATGATTTATATTTCTGAATGTAACACTAGTTCATATAGTGTAATGTAGCACAACTTTTTTTCTTAATATCTTAAGTACTGGTGTTAACGTTGTAGCATAATGCACATTTATTTCCATTTTATTGTATCATATTACTTAAATGTACATACTTCTTTTTCATTATAATTCTCTATTCTTTAAACTGGAGCAACTGTAACGAATCACTACTTCCACTTGGACTCAAAGTATTTCTGATTCTGTTTCCTACCCATTCATTCATTAATTTTCCGTAACAGCTTATCCTGTTAGCAGTTGCGGGGGGGCTGGAGCCTATCCCAGCTGACATTGGGCAAGAGGCGGGGTACACCCTAGACAGGTCACCAGACTATCACAGGGCTGACACATAGAGACAGACAACCATTCACATCTACAGCTAATTTAGAGACACCAATTAACCTGCATGTCTTTGGACTGTGGGAGGAAGCCGGAGTAAACCCAGGGAAAACCCATGCTGACACGGGGAGAACATGCAAACTCAGTGAGCTGAGTTTGCATACAAAGTGTCAGCACATGTTCCTGGTGGTTCAAATTCTGGGTTTGAACCCGTTAACCCTCTTTCTGTGGGGCGACAGTGCTAAACACTGCAGTGCCGCCAACCCATGAAGGCTCAAATAACCTAATTCCATGATACTTTTTTTGGTTCGAAATATGACTTTTCTATTTTCAGTTTTACCTTTTGTATTTACCAGGATATCTCTCAACTTTATAGTATAGATTTAAAAATTATTTAAAGCGTGTGTAATCAGAATCAGAAGTACCTTACTGATCCCCAAGGGGGAATTATGCTTCATTACAGTTTCTCCATTGTAAAGAATAGAGAAGATGGCAGAAGTAAGAATAAGAGTACAAAAGAAAGTGTGTGAATATAGAGCAATAAATAAAATTAAGTGGAAATGTACATTAAAATTGAAATAAAATGTGTCAGCAAAGAAACTCGTGGCTACACGCTGGAAACATTCACATTCACTTTCTTTCCGTGCATGGATTCTGACATATTTGGACATTGTGCATTTGGAGCTGTCGACTGCTCAAGTCCACAGAGCACAAGAGGCAGTAATAGTGGCTTGACAGTCACTTTCAACTAACCTACGAAGCCTCTTGGCGTGATACTGTAGAGGAGATAGGGTCCTGGGTCCAGGGAGGGGAGGGTGAGGCGTTTCCGGGGCGTTAACATTCATCTTAATTTTATTTTGTTTGTAATTTCTGTCATTATTTCACCTGATTATTTACTTATTTTTCCTTTAATTGTATTCATATTTATTTTTCTTGAGTGGAAATTGCTGCATATATTATTCACATCTGTACTCACACTGTTCGTCCATGCTATAATTCTGTTTCTTTTTTTTAAAAACTTTTTATTTATGCTGTGCAATTCATACCTTCATCTTTTCACAAATAAGCATTTCGCATTTCTCTTTAACTTTGTATGAATTTAAGTAAAGAAAAAAACAACAACAGTACAATAAATCAAATACCCAGTACTAAAAAAAAAACAAAAAACAAAAAAAAAAACAACAACTAAATATACAATAAGCGTGCAAGCGACAAAGATATAACCATTTTATGTTTTTCGTACAATTTCTCTTTTTTTTCCTTTTTCCTGTTTCTTCTCTTCCTTTTTTCCTTTTCTTTCCCTCTCTTCCTTCCCCTCCTTCCCTTACTTTAGTTACAGGGCTCAAAAGTAATATTTTACACCGATAGCATTACTGCCATAAAATTTTAAATTAGTAGCATAGCACTTCGTTTAGTTGTGCAAGAAAGAAAAACAGAGAAAAAAATAATAAATAAATAAATATAATCCTGTTTTTCAATAAACAAAAATTTGATCACAACAAAAAAATAAAATTTGCATTATGCTACAATGTTTAACACTACATAATAAAATAAAATATTAAAGTAAATTTTCAAAATATACATGAGTGTGTGTGAGGCGTTCATTTAAAAATAAAACCATTATAAATATCTAATTTTAAGATTGCATAAAGATGTTTGGCCCCTGTCTGTGTTGCTCTCAGCACACTCTACACGTGTGCACAGAGAAGAGTAATTTATTGACGCTCCCTAAGCTAACGTCATTGCAGTCGGTCAGCGGAGAGCAGACATTGTGCCTCGCTGCCCTGCACCACCAGTTTCGGAAAACACGGTGGCTGAGCGAACGGTCTTGAGTCGCCGAGATCGAGTCTGTCGCACATCCAGCTTCAAATTTTCTTTACCGAAACGCGAAGCAAACACGACAGACAGTAAAAGATGGCGAAATTAGTCGACTAGCGCTACAAAAAAGCTAACATTTACAGTTTAAAGGCATGTAGGCGCTGTCTCTCTCTCTCTCTCTCTGTCTCGCTCGCTCGCTGTAGCCCTGCCTCATCCCCTCCCCCTCTCTGCCAAACACCGAGCTTAACGCCATCCGTTTTCGGTGAGCTGACCGCTTTCGCTTGTCTGATGGCTGACGTTGGCTTTCTTCCTAGCTCGAAGTTATGTGGCGAGCGAGCTAGCCTTAACGACCTGCAGATTAAAGGCTGGTTTGGGCAGGAAGACACAGCGAGTGTCGGTGGTCTGTCACTCGGGTCATCGCTGACCGTCCTCAGTAAATGGGACTTACTAAAAAAATCCAGATGAGCTGAACGTGTTGGCTGCCGTGCTGTTAGGTAGAAGACACCGACAAGAAAACAGCCAAGCTTCAGACACAGTCGGCTGCTGTAGTTTACAACACACGGGCTGCCGTTACACTAGGGTAGTTAAATAAAGTCACATTGTGATTAATTCTGCTAAGGCTAGCTCGTTAGGTCAGGAAGAGCGCTAGCTAGCTAGCAAGCTAGCACTAGCTTCCACACAACATTAACGTCGCATTAAGTTGAGCGAGAAGTTGGACAGAAGACTTAGCTGTCACACAAACCGCCTCCCCACCACAAACGTTTGTCTGATCAAAATCCCCGACATATGCAGTGAAACTAGACACAGCGAGAACAAACTAACAACAAAAATGCATGTTGTCAGGTCTGCTCAGCTTTAGCATGTCAGCTAATTCATGGTCGCCGCTATTAGCATGCTAGCCTTACTTAGACTAACTTATCGGCGTTGCAAGCTAACGTAGCCGCTACTGAAAGCCCCACATGTTGTTTTGTTGGAAGAGGAAAACACAGTAAAATATTTAGTCATCGCATAAAAGTAGCCAGTGTTAGATCGCTATCTGGTATGTTCGGCAAGGTTAAGTAGAAGCTAACTAAATGGCACGTTAGCACAACAACCAACCCCCATCAGTACAGGGTACCCTCGGCTAACAAGCTAGCACTAGTTTAACTTACCTCGTAGGACTGCCACCAGCAACAATTTGACGCACCAGTGTACCGGGACCCGACCAGTAAGCCGCTACTCGTGCATTCACCTGGCCGTGACGAAAAGTGAAGTTCCGAGAAGTGGTCGCGGATGGAAATGTCAAAAAATGAAATTGCCCGGAGAGGCTACGTCGCTAACAACAGTGTATGTATGAAGCGGTGTTCCTTGAACATAGAGGCGTGTCTAACATGAAGGCGGGTAGTCTCCTCCCAGTCTAAACTGGGATTGGTCCACTCTCCAGAATGAAAACAAATACAGTAAGGGCAGTGAGCCAGTGTCTTTGGTTAAAGGCGTCTGGTTTAGTTTATGGTCATGCCAAGTGCAGGCTGAGCTGCACCACAGCCTCCATGTTGCTCCTCTCATACATACTGCTAACATACACAGGTATAGATTAGCCGTCCTCCATGACACTTACAGATGAAACAGTACATGCATCATGAACTGGAGGACATGTCATACCTCAAAGCCTGTGACGTGTGAGTTTTTACACAGACACTGATCTACAGAGTGGTCTGCTACAGTGGTTCCAAACTGCTGGGTTTTTGTCCAAAAGTGGGTCGCAGGTCCATTCCGAATGGACCGCAAGTGACTCACAAACATGTCCAGCTTGTAAAAAACACACTTTATTTTGAAGCACAGTGAATATCTGGCACATTGCTTTTATTTCAAAGCACCATTTCCTGCTGTAGAGTGAGTGACGAACATACAGCTACTTGACAGAGACAGCAAACTAGCTCGACCACATGTCCAAATGCAAATATGACGCTGAATATATTAAACTGTGTGGACCCTGAACTAATGACTACGGAGAAATCTGGTCCAGTTGGGAACCACTGGTCTACTACATAGTTCCCAACCTTTTTCCTTAAGGGACCCCTTTTTATTTTTTAAAAAACTGCCCCCTGAGTAAGTGACATAACTAACTAACCCAAATAGTGAAAGCAACAACTGCAGGAAGTTTGTGTAAAACGAGAGATTTGGAGTTTGAGCAGATTATTTCCTGTTAATATTGCACATATTGCACAACAGATGAGTTCTCCTGATGTTTTAAGGACTTTTTAGTGTCTGAATTATGTACCTTTTTATTTTTTTATCAGTCACACATACCTAAAGGCTTCTTTTTTTTTTAGCTCTCTGCTAACTGCCTCTAATGGAAGATGAGGCTGTTAAACAGTGAGTGAAAGCTCATCAGTAGTGGTAAAAAAAGTTTACATCTTGAATAATAATCTGAACTTTAAAACCAACAATTTGATTTAGTTATTCTCACAGACATAAATAAAAAACTGAGATATAGGCCTACCGTATATATTTGTATACAGTTTTATTACACCCTTTATAATCCTCGTGACCCATCGTGACCCTTTAGCGACCTGCAGTTAGGTTGGAAACCAGAGGCCCACCATATTTACATCTTCACAGCAGTGAACACATAGTGGGAGACATTTTGTCATCTACCAAGGTATAGGATCAGGAGAGAGAGGTCACACTCGGTAAAAAGTACTTAATAAAATTATGTCAAGGTTGTTTTCTGAGACTATAAAATATATTCAAATCATTGTAAACCTGTGAGAGTTTCAACACTGACTTCAGGATCAGTCAACTGAAACTCTGACACCTTGATTTAACCCTAAACTCAATGATATTTTAATTTGAACTCATTGATTTTGGTGTGTTAATATTTGTTTATCATGCTGTTATCAGAGGTTTTATTTTAAATAAAACATCATTATTATATTATTTCAAATATAAAATGTTTTAAGTCACCTTTAAGCCAATATACTTTTTAAAATTGTTGGTTATATTTGTTATCATATGTGAACACTCTGTAGTGCTCTATAATAGACATTATTATCAGTGATAGTTGCAGTATAACATATATAAATAACATATTAATATTGTTATATTGCATAATATCAATGACTAATACATTATAAAGACATAAACTAATATTATAATGTATTAAAAAGATGCTTACGTACTCTTTCTTCTCGCCAATAACATTACACAGGATCCCACAGCCACTGAAAACCTTGAACCTAGAATTTTGCCATCACATTTTACAGGCCTGGAAAGGTCCTGGCATTGGTAAAGATAATTTAAAGTTTTGGAAAAATCATGGAATTTTTTGTGTGTAATGAAATTGTTATAGTAATCTTCCGGGAATATAGGCTAATTTATTTTCTGTAGCTGTCGACGCAGCTCAGATATGTGTCAGTGTTTCGTTAACCATCACAGCTTCTTCATTTTCTTCCCATGTTCCGTCTCTCCCTTCATGTGTGCCCGCTGCCTGAAATTATGTTTGAAAGAGTTTGAATCTGATATGTTTAAAAAAACATTGCACAAGTAGGACAAAGCCTGGACAGCTTTGTAACAAAACAGATCAATAAAACATAAAACTCAGTTCACATTTACGTTTAATAATATATTATATGTTATGACAACATGATAGAAAAATAGATGTTTTCATTTTTTACATTTAAGGTAAAGAGGGTTGTACAACACAATCATAAGCAAATTCTTACAGTCTCAGACAGGCTTTTTTTTGGCGGGGGGGGGGGGGGGGGGGGGGGTGTCTAAAAGTAAAGCCAATAAATTTTATTTATACAGCCTTATATCACAAATTTGCCTCAGGGGGTTTTATCAATCAATCTGTACAGCACATGACACTGTCTGTTCTTTTTGACAGGCTTAAAATCGAGGAAAAATTCCCCCCAAAAAACCTTTAACAGGGAAAAAATGGGAGAAACCATGAGCAGAACAACGGAGGAGGACAGTTGTGCAACAGATGTCGTGTATACAGAGCAGAACAATAAAATAAAATACATTTTAAACAATCCATATGACAAAATGGTACATATAATGTGACATAATCGTAAAGGGTCAAAGTGTGTCATCAAATATTTGAGCTAAATAAACACCTTAATTTTATTCACAGTATTTGTGAAGAGAAAAGGGTGTGTGAGGCTGTTTGTTAATAAGTGCTTACTAGTTTTGAAAAACCAACAGTACATAGCCGGGTTAGCTAAACTAACTGGATTTCAATATTTTTTAATTTTCCTCCAAATTGTGTCCAATATCTTCAATGTGCCAAATGTTCTGTAATAAATCCAGCATGTAGCTAATAAAGTACACAGATAGTGCAGAGTAACAAAGTCTGCTGCTCCTATCAAGGTTTTTTACATGTACATGCTGTATACAGCAGATAGCTGAAAAGACAGGAAGAAGGACACGCAACAAAGTCACAGACTTAAACTAGGGAAGATTACAGTACACGGTCAGTGTCTCAGACAGTTCGGCCTCCAGGTGGTCTCAAAGGGCAAATAAAAAATAAGGAGGACATTTTATAGTGTGACCCCTCCTTCTGTGTCACACCCTTGAGCATCCTACCACTACTGGTGAGATGACATACAGTAATAAGGATAATTTATTGTGAGCAGTGCAATAAATCCTATGTTTTTTTTTTATTTTGAAAGTCATGTAGTGTGCTCTAAAAAAGCCTAAAATACACATCGGAATCATGAGTGGGTTTCATTCTTCAAATGTCCAAAACAGGCAACAGTGTTCCTTCATGTTCGGACAGATCATCGTCCAGCAGCTTGTTCAGTACAGGAAGATGTTTTGAAGAAATATGCTGAAAGTTGTCAGAATCACTCCGGCTGCCATGGCTGAGGCCTGTTCTGGAGCTGCAGGAGACGACAGGAGAGGAGAGGAGAGGAGAGGAGAGGAGAGGTCACGCATTTACAGTCACACTGTGTTTGCATTTTAATTGCCAAATAGTGGCTGATATTTTTCAGTTTTTAAGACCCTAAAAAGGAAAAACTTGAATCAACACTTACATTTTGAAAGAAAAAAACGACATAGCTTAGATGAATACTTATTAGGAATTACAGAAATAAGAGAAGAGGGCCCCAAAATGAACACAATTTTAAATGTGTTCATTTTGGGGCCCTCTGGTGGCGACGGGGCTAAAAGCAATTGTTCCACAGGCATTTTCCAGCAGCATGCATCTAAATCAGGTCTGTTTGTTCAAAGAAAAAGAAAGGACTGGAGCGCACTGATCAGTTAGCTGCCGTTAAAGCTGTAGTTGATTACTTTTATAAAACTTTTTGTCATATACCCTGACACCCTCCACACAGTAGTACACGTAACACGAGGCCTGTGCAAAAACATCATGTTCCTCTGCTTCTCTCTCGTAGTTCTTCTAATGACACTTGCAAGAAACCACAGCCTGTGAATGAAAACCGCCAATCAGAGCTGAGGAGGCTCTAACGGTGTCAAACATACTGCCCGGGGGCCTGAACCGGCCCGCCAAAGGGTCCAAACCGGCCCACCGGATGACCTTGCACACCTAATAATGATGCACCTGTGAAGGCTGAGAGGTGCCAGGTTTCAGGAGCAAGTTAAACACTGAGAAGCTTTTTTCTTATGTAAAACGCTGCTTCAGAGGCTTTTACACCTCGACCAGAACCGGAATGCTTTTCTTTGACTTTAGTTTGGCGTGGTGGTGTTGGGATTACTACACAGGAGTGGAAATGTATGGAAAAATGCACATGTAATGACTGAACGTGGAAAAACTGAGAAATATTATTGACATTGCATTTGTCATCCATTTTGTAAATGGATTAGCATTTTTAAAATGTAGTTCTTTACAAAAAAAGGGAAAAATTTGGAGGTGTTTTTTTATGAGATATTATCAGAATTAGAAGTACTTTATTGATCCCCGAGGGGAAATAATGAATTTCTGCGGGGATGTCTGTTGTTCTGGTCGCTATGTCGGCCGACTTTGGTGCAATCGACTGAAGGCCACGGGCAGGCTGCATGACGGCGGTGTGTGTGTGTGAGGGTAAGCATCAATTCCACAGTGAAAAGGAACTCTTTCTAGTTGCATGTTTAGAGGGCACAGCTTAATAATTTGCTGGATAAAAAAAATTAACAAGTGCAAAGAAAGCTAAGTTTGTAAAAGTAAGAAAAATAAGAAGCTATCAGGAGCAACTGCAACAGGCTGCATGCACAGTCGGCACATGCGCACTTGATGCAATAGTTTTACTGGTCTTGCGATCAAATCGGACTGTGTTTGGCCCCTGAAATAAAATGAGTTTGAGTTGCCCTGGCCTACATTATAATATAGTGGTTACGTGGAGAGATAATAGCAAAGAACTGACTGATTTTTCCAAATATATACATTTAATGACAACTGTTTTAGGAGCAGCATGGTTTATTCTAGACGTAACATGTCAAACCTTTCAGCAGGAACACGTCTAAAAGCTCGTAGGCTAAATCTAAAGCTGTTGAGGTGAAAGTGCGTAGGGCTTATCCCACACCATGTATCTCTTCGGCCTATCAAAGGGCCCTAGGTACGGACAGACACCACCAGACACCTGCAGCAGCACACATGTTGTGTCCATGCTGAAATGTCCCTGTGCCTGGTTTATGTTGGACAAATTAAAAGAACTTGCATATGTGAGCACAAAACTTGGTCTGTATTATCGCTCAGCAGGATTCACAGGCTAACTAATTAAAAAAACAAATACATGGAGGCTTGTTTAGGAGATAACGTCTTACCGCCTGAGGTGGTGTTGCTGATCGGGGCAGCTGTGGTTATAGTGGTGGCAGCAGCAGCAGCAGTTGTGGTTGCTGCAGCAGTAGTTGTAGCTTTGGCGACGGCTGTTGTGGTTGGTGCAGGAGAGGTTACCACGAGGCTGACGGGTCCCGACCTAATGGTGTAGGCGCTGGTGAACAGACTGCCAACCAGAGCTCTGTGATTAAAGGAGCGGGCACACAGATCAGGGCACTTCTCAGAGGGCATGGTGGAGATGCACAGATTCACCGTGCACTCAATGTACATCTGCAGAACACAAAATAAACAGATGCAAGTTAGTGTTGTGGAGAAAAACATGTCATAACTTTACAACTTAACTTCAAGTATTTATAAGACATGAATCACTGGTTGACAACACTGTAACAGTGCAGTTTAAGGGAAACAGACATTGAAGAAGTGCAAATAAAGGCAATGTTCAACCCTTAACAAACCAGGAGAGGGTTTAGATGGTTGTAATCTGCAATCCTCACCGCTATGTACCACTAAATCCCCCTAAATCTGACACACTTCACCTTTTAAAACAACACACAGAATAGGAGAGCTGCAAAAGTGTATGTGTGTGTTGCATGAGAGCACCAACCGTTGATCCTTTGGTCTCTATGCTGGACAAATCAAGGCGGTAAACCTTGGAATTGGATTTTGTTGTAATGACCTCTAATGTTTTGTTGGAAGACATACACCTGGAAGAAAAAGAGAGAGAGAACATTGGAAATTATATGAGATGTGAGATGAGATGATAGAGTCAATGTTGTTTTATTTCAAACAGTGTCCTCTTCATCATGGTAACCTCAAACCATAGAGTGCTGCAGGAATGATGTTTATTTGTTTGCCAGCTCAGATGTTAACATTGCCTTGGTTCCCCTTGACAAAAAGCCAGTAAGATTTTTCCATTGGATTTTGGATTATTGCAGAAAATAATCTCTGTGGCGAACAAAGGTTTATGATACTTTGTTCAGCAAGATGATCTTCACAAATTAACACCACTTTAAGCATAAATATAATCGCTGGGAATAAAAAGCTGACATTAGGCTATAAACAAACCTCCTCCTGCACCACTCTATCACAGGTAACAAGTCGATTGTCACTGACCCTTGTTCAAGAATGGGGAAGGTTTCTGCAAAGTCCTCCGTCGCAGACTCAATACAGTTGCTCACTATCATCTCGGCCCGTTCGATGCTGCAGTTGGACATCACATGGAGGTCCAGCTGGGTGATCCTGGACCCAACGGCCCCATGGGTGTTAGTGGTGCTGTTATCAGTGGAGCTGGTGGAGGTGCTGTTGCTCTCTGATGGTGATTGTGCCTCTCGACGCACTCGTCCTGGCGCCATCCTGAGGGTGCGAAACCTAGGGGTGCGAGTGAAGTCGGCCAGGGGCCCCTCTCCTGGAGCGTGAATTTCTATCCACACGTCAACCACACCGAAGACCTCCTCCTCTTTGGGCATGCCGATCTGGTAGTGCGGTGTGCCGACCTGGGCTTCAGGGATCCGGCAGGCCAGAGGGAGGACGAGTGTGGGCCGGCGGCTCACCAGAGTGTACGCACGCACAGTTTTCAAGGTGTTGGTGAAAACCATCTCGTTACCAGAGTGCTGGAAAAAAGGAGAAGATGAGGAAGACTATAGGAATTCACATTCAGCTGAATAATCTGTCAGTGTGAAGTATTTTTTGAATTTAAAGAACAACTTAACAGCAGACTGAAAAGCAGTGTTTTACTGCCACATCACGGTTTAAAGTTTCCTGTGTGTTTCACCTCAGGTGTGGTCAGAAGTGTGCGGTCTTGCACCCTGTAAGCACACCCAACTATGCTCTGCAGTACTATGACTGTAGTGTTGGCGATACCGTCATTAGAGATGTCTGCCTTACTTCCAATATAATGGGACTAGATGGCACTCGGCTTGTGGTGCTCAAAGTGCCAAAAAAATACATTAGATTTTTCTGCTTTTTACAATCATTATTCATGACAAGAAGACAATGCAATAAACAAGTTAAGTTACTCAGAGAAATGACATTTAGTTCATTTGTGAGAGATCTATCAAAACTCAAGTACTGTACTTAGAGATATACTGTGCAGAAATTGTCTGTTACTGCCAGCGATATGAAAGTCAACCCCAGATTCCCTCTCATTTTGGCACTTTGCCTCACTATGTTTGCATTCTTTCAGCGCTGTGTCTTTGATTTTTGTCGCTTCCTTTTGGATGCGTGCTGCCTACAGTCTGGCACCTGGTCCCGACCTCACCTGCCAGCTGTGCCCAGAAACATCCCGAACACAACAAGATCAGAAGAAAACTAAGAAAATACAGGCAGAAGGCAGAGTCTCTGCAATGTCATGTAGGAACTACTTTCTTTCTACACTCACCAACTGTATCACCATGCAGAAGGATGCGTGCATCTACTGCTAGCTCACCTAGCACCTCTGAGCTAGCTAATGTTGCAGCTCAGCCAAGGAGGACACTATTAATGTTTACATTTCACACTGTCACAATCATGAGCCTCTTGTCCATGAGCAGATGCCCGCTTTCTTCTGCACGGTGACAGGGTTGGCGGGTGTAGCTCAGTAGAAAGAAAATAGTTCCTACATGAAACTGCTCACAACAAGGTCTGTGGATTTTCTTGAGTAACCAGGTCATGATTTCTGGAGAGAGACATTGCTGAAGAGTTTCAGCTTTGAGCACCACAAGCTGAGTGCCATCTAGTTCCCTTATATTGGAGAAGGCAGACGTCTCAGGCTCAGTGGGTAGAGCAGTCATCCCATATACAAAGGCAATGTTCTTGTTGCAGCAGCCACGGGTTCAATTCCAGCCTGTGGCCCTTTGCTGCATGTCATCCCCTCTCTCTCCCTTTCACACTTAAACTGTCCTATCTAATTAAGGCAAAAAAAGCCAAAACAGAAAAATCTAATCTAGAGAAGTCAGACGTCTCTACAGCTGATATCTCCAACACTAGACAACTCACATTAAAACAATCCAGCTTGATAAACAGCACTACAGGTAAGAGGAAAATATGCATTTTTGATTTGGGGGTGAACTGTCCCTTTAAACCACTTGATGTCCACAAAGACAAGAATTTTAGTGAGTAGTAAGTTACTCTTTAAGTGCAGCTGTGGTCTCTTTCTTTGTCATAAATAGATGGAGAAAAAGGAGATGTAAACTACACAGCATGAAACTAATAATGTTGCATTAAATCATTTACATTTTGGGACAAAAATAGCCAGCAATTAAAATATTCTGCAGATTATTTGATGATGAAAATAAATTAGCTGCAGGGAGCCCTACATCTGATGTACCATGTAGAAATTGTAGTACTTTTTATATATAGTTCCTCAGGGTTGTGTGGCACCAAACATCATTTTATCTGACACCCAGTAAACTGGAGTACGGGGAAATCTCCCACTGTCTATGCAGCACAATGTATAAAAAATAAAGCTAGATTTTTACTTTTAAAAATGTCTTATTTACATGTACAGAGGGGTTAAACATATATTAAGTCTAAGACAGAAAATAAGACAGGCAGAAAGGTGGAGCATTTACCACAATCTTGGTGCCGCAGCCAGTCAGGGAGATGCGTGCAGTCAGGTGTGTGCTGTTGTAGGTGACGGGACAGGTGGGGCTGTTGAGCTGCAGCTCGGTCAGGTCGATGTCACTCAGGGAGGTGATAGGGAGCAACAGAGTCATCGCTGTCTTCTCACACGTCAGCTCTGCAGGCCCACAGCAGCAGAGTTTTGATTATTGAAATATTCTTATTCACAGGCACAATTAGTGAACTCAGAATATGAACAACAGCCTCAACACTTCTGTAACAAAGTGTTTTCTTTACCTGTTCCGGCAGGCAGCGCCGCCATCTCCCCTGAAAAGAGTAAGAAAGACATATTTTAATAGTCAGTATTTTCTGAGAAACCCGGCTGTGAGTTTAGAAGTGGTGTATTGTTATCAACAGTGAAGCATAAATGGTATTCTTATGACATTTTTGGTCTTACTTTGGTACAGCCACACGCATCTGGGCTCTGACTGCAAACTGGAAAGACAAGAAGTGTATATCAGGCCATGTCATGAACTAAATATGCTCTGTTCAAGATGTGGACATTTGACTGGCAGTGTAAGTGGGAGTGTGTGTGAGTAATTTACAGTAATGCACGTATGCTGTACTTAGTATGCATGTTTTGGATGGCTGACAGAACAGGTATGGAAAGGAATTGTTGAAGGGTGAGGGGGAGGGGTATGACACGAAACAAAGGTCGCTTGCTAAACTTAAAATGAGGACGCTGCAGTTATGTATCGGACGCCCCGTAGTTACATGATTTCACATGAACATGATGCACATCTGTGTTTGTGTGCACAGGATTGGTTAACAACTGAATGTGAAAGTAACTGAGTAAAGTATTTTCATAACTCTGAAGTCTGTCATTTTATCTCACTTTAAGTGTGTAGACGTGATTAACATTTTCCAAATCATCCTGACGGCTTAAAGGGCAAGTCCATTATTTATATTTTCTGAGGTTTTCATATCACTCTGTAGCTTCCTAGAAGTTTTCCTTATGTTTACATGTTCGAAAATTCAAATTTTGGTTAAAGTACGTATGTTTTAGCGTCAAAATGCTATCGCTTTTTACCACATGACCTGATGTAGGTTTCTGCACCATGTCGTCATGACATAGAAACCAACACACTGCTGTGAACGCCACGTTAGTTCAGTTCTGAAAGTCACACAATGATCGAGTTGGTGGCAGACCAGCAACTCCTGTGAGCTGTGAGGTAAAATTACTGTTTCTGTCAATGGAGTCTGGTGGCTTTGAAGAGGGCCGTGTAATGTCTCCTGTTCCCTGTCAGAAGGGGCAGCCTGACAGCAAGGTAAAGCGGTAAAATAATGTAAATATGGTGTACCTGTAAACTGATATCAAAACTTATGGGTGGTCCTTTTTTTGGAGGCTAAAATGTGTTTTTCTGCCGCCCCTGTCCACAGCCACCAGACTCCTTTGACAGAAACAGTAATTTTACCTCATAGTACACGAGGAGTTGCTGGTCTGCTTCTTGTGTTATTATGTGACTTTTTAATGATCTGAAGCTGATCTCTGAGACTGCTCTGTAAATAGTTTTCTAATAAATAATAAATACAGCAACTTCTGATCAACTCATATCAATTTCAGGCCTCAAATATCAAGTCCTGGTTACGCCACAACCATTTCTGTTAGAAGTCCCAACCACTTCTGGATCATCAGCTTCCCCTCACCAAACCTCTGTGACATCCACTCAGGCTGTCTCCTCATATGGGCCACAAACATAAGGTCAGACCCCTCACGCCTCGTAGTTGTATGAGTAATATAGATGTGTAATCAGAAATGTTTCAGGTGTGTTAAACATCAGTTATATAAGAATACTAATACACTTTACACCACTCCAGTACTAATTTATATTAACTGCATTATAGTATATACTACACTTCTTTCCATAGAAACTTATTAGTACCATTAGTGCCACTCAGCTCACAGAACAGCCTACCTCCTGGTATTCGCAGCGAAGCAGATGGGCAAAAGGCGGGCCAGTTTGTTTTCGGAGCGGACCCAGGACACGGTCATGGTTGCCAGGGGGCCGATTGTTTTGAAACCAACCCTGAGGAGTCCCGGGGGACCGATCGTGCCAAACTCTAAAATGCTGGAAACACAGAGAGAAAGCTTCGTAATTGCATTTGTAACAGTTAAACCACTTGTAAACCTACACAGGTGATTTTAATTATTGTGTCTGATGAGACCTCAGCTGCATCTGACATCACTCATTCACTACTTGTTATACAACAGACACTCAGCAGTTTATTCTGTAAAGAGCGCTGAGTCACATGAGAGTAATTCTCTAAAATGTGGCACGATGCATTGTCGACATGCCGTGACGTCTACACTACTTTTATCATTCTTCTCAGGGATTTTTTAAGGGCACTATACAGAGCTGACATCTTTGGACACTCAAATGAAGTGAGTCTGAGTCTTCTCAGGACTGTGTGGGCACTCACAGATGCACTTGATGGACACTTGAGGTCCAATCAGTCAGAATAACTCAGAGCACCTACAGTGTGTGGGAGGACGTTCTGAGTGCTGATTTGACTTGTTTCCATGCAGTCAGGTCACAGGTGCAAAAATAAGAAAGTCTGTGTTATGCCATGATCACATCAAGGCGCTCAGACTGTCATCCCTGAGTTATATGTCAGCTATGACGTCTCCCACTTGTCAAATAGAACAACAGCAGTGTCAGCAGACTGGTGACAGTTTGGCTGCAAAGCCTCGATCACTGGCAGTTAGACGTGTCCTAGTGAAATACTGGCCACAAGTTCATGAGCTCATTGTAAAATAAATGCAAGTGGAGGTTTTTGAAATGGTCTAAACACTCACATTCACACCTACGGACAATTTAGAGTCACCAATTAACCTGCATGTCTTTGGACTGTGGGAGGAAGCTGGAGCACCTGGAGAAAACCAGGGGGAGAACATGCAAACTCAGGGGCTCCCCCACCCCGGGGTTCAAACCAGCAACCCTCTTGCTTACCACACTATTTTTCATTTTACATCAATGTTTATTGCACCATTTTTCAATTCACACGCATTTTCACAACCTCCATTTTCATCAGTTAGTTTTTGTTATTTCAACGCCTCAGTTTGTTCAAACATAGCATCAGATAGTATCTATCACATGTAAACATTAAGTATTTAAATCAGTTTCAGATTTATGTTCATAAAATAAATAGTAAATATCTACGAGGCCCTCAAGGACGCACCTCTCCTGCTGTGATTCAAACTCGACGTCGAACTGCGCCTGCTGGTACGGCAGGACAAACAGCGTGGAGTCCACTCTGGGGGTTTCGTCTGTTGCCACAGGTTCACTGCTGCAACTGGAGGTGGACTCCTCCACTGGAAGGAGGAAGAGGGACATTTCTGTGACTTCAAATATAGCAGAAGGACTAACACAGGACACAACTTAACCTCTGAATCTTCTTTAACCTTTAACCTTTTTACTGTTGTTACACTTAATGACACCCATGCAGGATTAATGCTGCTGTTATCTGACTGACAGACTCACCTGTGAGAGACAGGTGCACAGGGACAGAGCTGAGGGGCTTGTTAGCTGCAGTGTGGCTTGTTCTGGGCGTAGGGATCATGTCCTCCGCCATCAGGTGGATGAAATACCGTCCTGCTGCTGCTTTTCCCGTGAATGTAAACGAACATTGGTCCTGGTGAAAGAATTCAGTCAAACAGAATTTTAATATGTCAAGTTTTCACTAAGCTGATTATGTAAAAGATCATTTGAGTATTTCTACCATCACTGCAGTTACTGATGATTATTTAAATGACTGTGTTGTGTTACTGTGTGCTGCTGAAGTTAGACTCACCTCTTCCAGCTCTATAAAAGAGTGCTGAGTGCAGTTGACACACTCTCCCTCCTCGGGGCGAGCAAAGCGACATCTCACCTTGTCACCGTCCAGATCTTTCACCGACAGATGGAAGTGGTGAGGGCAGTTTACACGGGCCCTGATCGTGGAGACAAAGAGATAAGCAGCCCGGCAGATCACAAATACAGAAGCAACAAAAGACGAAAGTGAAAGTGGATATGGTCTAATCTCCACGGCTGAAAAACAAGGTGTATTGTATTACAGTAAGGAAGGAACTGGGAACTTCCTGGAGTCTATGCTGGCTGCCTGGCACATAAAGTGTCCAAACCATAGACATATATACATATATATACGTATATATGTCTATGGTCCAAACAACCACCTGATGGTTTTAATGTAAAAGACTTTTATATTAGCATCTATGCTCTGCCTACTTAAGCACTTTTTTTGTAGATCACACAAGTTTTGTGGTTTCCATGTGCCATTTAAATCAAGTCATTCAAACTATTTACAGAACAGGCGACTTGAGGATAATGTCTATTTTTTTTAGTGTGTGTGTGTCTGTGTGTACAATACCTTAGTGGAGGAAAGAGCCCTACAAAAGCAGGATGGTTAAGTCTCCCGCTGTTTCCCCGAATCTGTGGTCCTGCTTTCATCGATACATAAATTTCTGTTTCGGACCTAAAAATCAAAGAAAAGAAGTGTGTATTAGAGTAACTGAAACGACTCAAGGCAGCCTGATTCAAATCACAACGTTAAATACTCCATGAAATAAAATGAAAAACATCCTGGATCATTGACACAAAAATTGTAGGTGACAGTGTACGTAGGTCTCTTACCCTAATTTTATAGTGGCGCTGTAATTACTGGGGACAGTTTTCTGCCACTGGCGGACACACCAGCCCGAGCTGGGTTTGGTGCCAGTGAAAGGTAACGAGGTAGTGTGGACCAGACAGTCCTCCCCTGCAGCACACAGTCCAGTCAAAGCTGGACAAGGAGTGGGAGCGATGGCACTGAAATGAGCTCGTACCTGCAGGAGGCGAAGAGACACAATGACAAACTGTCTTTAATGTGCAGTGACAAAACTCATGACTCTGGAACCTGTAGGGTGAGCTCAGTGTGTCCTAATTATGAAGTAGTTCATGAGGTGTTAGGAGTCTGACTTTGGCTGTACTTTGATTCTGACAATCAAAACTGAATTTTAAAAAGCCTATATTATTGTTTGTGGCCAAATTTTTTATTATAAAGTTGTAGAAAATATATATTTTTGTTCAAATTTTGTACAACAAATAAACAACATGTAGGGAAAGGAAAGAAAATTAACAAAAACAAAAAACCTTCAGGGTAAATAATAAGAATAAAAATAAAAGCTTTAAAGTCTAAATAACTGATTTTTTTGCCTATTTATAATTTTTCTAGATTTAAATTATCAGCCAAAGACAAATCATTTTATGTATATAATTTTTTTTACTAAAATAATAATCAAGTTAATTACGTAATTTTCTTCTGCAGAAAAGTTGGGATTGTTAAAAATAAAGTAATATACCAATATTTGTAGGTATATTTTTGAATGGTTCTCCTGTAAATCAAACCAATGATAATATTAATAATAATGTATATACTTCAAAAATGGCTGCTCTGCCTCTGTTGATTCTGTTTTTGTTGCATAACAGGAACCTACTGAAAACCAGTTTTAACTGTACACACATTATTTTTAATTCCTGCCCTGTAAAAATGAATGAACATGAATGAAAAATAAAATGAAAATAAAAGCACTTAAAGTGACGGTTAATGACGCAGTAAAAATGCAACAATGTGAGACAAACACTATGAAGCAAAACACATTATCCTTAATATATGCATTAAACCAAGATTAATCACTCATTAAAACTGTCACATACTAAAAAACAGAAACAGATTAGTGCACTCAGTCGTGCAGATCTCCATCAGGCATCTGTCCGAGCTGATCACAGCCACTAGACAATTCTTGAAATTCCAGCAGACTCACCACAATGTGTTTCAGAGGCGTCCCAGAGGCTAATAACAACAAATGCCTTGTCTATTTTTGACAGAGCCATGTTGCACAAAGCAAATCGAGTTTTCCTGCTAACAGGCTGCGTGTGAAATAAAGACACAACATAAAACACAGCTGGAAGTCTTAAATCCATGTATTCAGAACTGAACCTTTATCTGTACTAACTTGTCTGTAGGCTACAGCACAACAACAACAAACATAATGAGACCAAACTTTTCTATGGATGAACATTTTTGAGCCATGATGAAGAGCAAAATGTTTCCTGCAACAGACGGTAAGCCTTGTTGCTTTTAGCTGGGCTGATTTCCGGAAAACTTGTGGGCCCTACCCACCAGTTAAGAGGAGTGAGGAGTCAGCGGGTAATGGTGGTATGAAACAGGAAATAAAACAAGTTTTTCAATGACTGCGAATCACTGAAACAACAGGAGATCCTAAAGCATACTGTCGTAAATGTGCACGCAAAATATTAGGCTGATTGGTCCAGTAGTTTGCGTAACTAACTGCCAACACACTCTCACTCCAACTTCGTCACATATTAACGTTTGGTCATGGACTTTACACGTCCAGATATGATGTGCAAGGTACCCTGGGTGTGTTGGTTGTTGATGTTGTGGGACGCTGTGTCAACTTCTGCCTGTTACATGCGTTGTCTGTTTTCAAAATGCACTTGTTTTCACAGGAAATGACACATTTACAGTCTCTTTCAAAGTAAACGCTGTACAACATTGTGAATTGCCGTTTTTTTCTTCAAAATCAAAAGCATGTGGTTACACTTATAAGAATTTAAGGTTTGTAGAGAAATAAAATTTCCAAAATTTCCTAGTTTGGATGGCTCCAAAATTTCAAACCACAGCTTTCTGGATGCAAATAAGATAATGTTGAAGTTACGAAACTTTAAATCATTTAAAACTTTTTAACAGAATGGTTTGTTTGTCACCTCAAATGGCACAAAAGGCTCAATAAAGGACTATTTGCTAGTGCTTTGGGATTGTTATTTACTTGTCAGAAGAGGGGGTGGCTGGGGTGTGACTTTGTTTTTGTGTGTGTGTGTGTTTTGACCCTTTTTTGACCCTCCCCGAGGCTACAAATATTTTTCCTTGAGTCTCTCTGAGTGACTCGACCTCCCCAACCATAAATTAGTTGAAAGTTGTAGATGAGTCGTGCTGGTTAGTTCCTGCAAATGTTTTTTTTGGCCAACAAACAAACAATATTTTAACTTCAGACTTTTTTTTTATGGTGGAAGCTTTCTTTGCAGATGATGTGTGGCTATGTCTATGTCTGGCTACGATCAACTCAAATCAAATCAAATCAAGTTTATTTATATAGCACATTTAAAAACAACCACAGTTGACCAAACTGGTTAAAACAAAACAAATTAAAAGAATGACACACAAACATATAGAAATAGGAAATGTACACAATTATAAAACAGAATAACACTGCTAAAAACAATAACATACGTAAAAAAGATGATAGAATACTAAAATATTAAAAGCACTACAAATAACCAAAGGCCACTGAAAACATGTACGTTTCAAGATTTGTCTTAAAAGTGTCAATGGAGGGGGAGCATTTGATTTAGAGGGGAAGGCTATTCCAAAGCTTCAGACATTGTTCTGAGGATCTAAAAGGTCAGGAGGTAGCGTAGGGGTGGAGAAGTTCAGCAATATACTGAGGTGCCAGCCCATGTATGGCTTTAAAAACAAATTAAAGAACGTTAAATCAATCCTATGTTTGACAGGCAGCCAGTGCAGGACGCTTGCACTGGTGTCTCTTTTTCTGGCACCAGTGAGGAGTCTCGCCTGCAGCTGGCGCAGAACGTTGCAGTGAGACTCCTCAAAAAGACGACTGGCTGACACCCAGGTACAGAGAGTTGTCAGGCCTTGAGGAGATTAATGTGGTGGTTACGGTCGTCATGTCATTGTGAGAGATGATGAATTTGGTTTGGAGGACATGTTTTCTTTAAAAATTGGCAGAAACATAAATACGAAATACAACCATTTAAACTTGTATGCACCTTCTCTTAGCCTCTTCGGTGCTCAAAAAAATATTTGACATGCCTCCTCCTTTTTGCACCACACCCTCCTGTCTCATAAATGACGAACAGTCCCTAAAGAGTGGGCTTGTAGACACCATGACCAAACCCACCGTATTCCCTCCATCACTGTCCAGGGGCAAAACGTGGACCGTCAGTCCCAGAGAAGAGGCTTCGCAGGCCGGGCCCAACAGGACCAGCAGAGTGAGGTCCTGCAGCAGGATGCTCAGTTTGAATCTCTCCAACATGTCAGCTCCTCGGGTGGATACGAACTCTGAACCTTTGGGATACACAGAGACAGCGAGGTTAAGCAGTGTCAGGCTCATTATAGGATGTTCGCATTGCTATTTTCAGCGTACATTAAGCTGAACATCAATGAGCAGGCATCATGTTGATAACCAAACAAAGTCTAATTGTGCAGTTCACATACCCAGCATAATGCACCCTGACAGTTTCTGAAACAAGGCTGTTTGACGTTTGTGAGAGGGACTGTGGGGCTGTGGTGTGATTTATTGTCTTAAAAACCTGTGAGAGAGACGACAGAGGGGTGATGACTGATGTGAATGTAACTTCTCTGCAATTCATGGTATGGTACAGTGTGTGCAGTCTGTGGCATGCGATGTATGTGCGCTGGCACATAAAAAGAGCCAAGCATCCAAACTCAACTACAGTAATAAAGTGAGCATTTCATCAAAGCCACAAATCAATGAACACTCAGACGTAACGAGGTCAGATGTATAACATGTTCACTTTTTTATCAGTATTTTAGTCTGAACAGTAGCATCAAAGTTGAAACCAGTTACTTCAACATGATCTAACAGCTTGAGATGAACATATTTACAGGGTTCCCACACATTTTCATTTCAAGGATCGATAATATGTATATTTTTCTTGCTAAATGTTTCTGTCATTTTTCAAACATGTCAAAGACAGAATTTCAGCTCAGTGGCGTACATGAACAGAGAGACACATATTAGAACAACGTTACGAAGCCAGACACAGAAAATAAACCTGACGTTATGTTACATCCTGTGGAAGGTTATCCACCGAAGATTACTTTGTTAATGTCATTACACACAACACAATTCCAGGATTTTTCCAGGCCTGGAATATGTGATTATGAAATTCTATGACTTTTTCAGGTTTTTCATGACCGTGGGAACTCTGTATTTAAAGAAGCATTCAAAGTTGACCTTTAATTACAAGCTAATGTTGGAGACAGAGGAAGGTGGAGACAGTTGCATTGCACATACGTGGACCAGCGTGTTGAATACGAATGGTTGTGAGGTGGACATTTATAATTGGACAATACAGGGAACATGTGACTATTACACGACTGCCGTGCCAGCCTGAACTACCATGAGGCTCACTACCATATCTCATGATGACGACACAACAGAGCACAATCACATTAAAGGGCCCATTTTCAAAAATTATGTTATGCTCAGTCTAAAAATATTATTGAACAGGAGTGCAAAAACTTAAGTTTGTGATGTCGTAGGACAGGCTCACCAAAGGGCTCACCAAAATCTCACTTGCATTTCTATCTGTGCACAACAGCTTCTATAATGTGTGTTATCACTTTTATCACGACAGACAATAAAAATAAGACAGGTAGCTTTCGTGATACTGTCTACTGACAGTTTTTTATCTTGTCTTTTAATGGTAGGTCGTCTTCACTGCTGCTTTGTTGTAATCTGCTGTGTACAATAAAGCAAATAATTTTCCCCCTCAAGGCTTTCTCCCTTTAAATGTTATCATCCCTCAACACTGGCTGCTAGTCACGGCTTTTGATGTGATACACACTTATAATTCCCTCATGCAAACAGCAACAAGTTCCCAGTGAAGTTTTTTTAAATTAAATTAAATTAAATTACATGTTTTGCAGAAGAATCGCTGTTGTAAGGTATACAGTCTGGAGCAGCTGGGAAAGATGTTCTGGGTATATGGGTGCATTTCCTGCTTCAGAACTGAGAACACTAAAATAGAATAAAGCTAATTTGAGTATAAAAAAGAAAAACATTGTGTGGCTCCCTTTCATTGTCTATGGAGCAGCTTTAGACTTTATACTGGATAACTTCACAAGTTTGAGTCTTACTTGTCTGGTTTTCAATTTTAAAACTGATTAAACTTCAATTCTTAATGTAGGTGGTGTAAGAAAAGTAGTGCATGACAACACTTATAATGGTAACGATACGATACGATGCGATATGATATGATACAATATGATACGATACGATACGGTACAATACGATACGATACGATATGTTACAATATGATACGATACGATACACTGTAACATCCCTGTAGGGACATTAGTCTATGACTCAGGAGCTGCACAAGTGTTGCTGCCTTACAATAATAGTCCAGATGAAAGGAAGCATACAACATAAAAACATATACAACACATAACAGTATTGCACTTAACACCAGCACACAACAGAGCAACATAAGTACAACACAACACAACCCCTGCAACATTATTTAAAATCTTAACTGAGGTTGTAACAAATAAATAACCATCACCAACGCCATGCCACACCGCAAAACTGCTCAGGAATGGTCCATGGAACGTAACAAAGAGCTCAAGGCCTCGACCTGGCCTCCAAAGTCCCCAGTTCCCGTTTTGACTGAGCATTCTGTGGGATTGTGGCAATATCCCAGACGTACGGCCCATCCATGGAGGGGCCTCTACAGATTGGACATAGCTCTGACACATCAAGGTATGGACACAGAGAGTCTAGGGATGCCCCGTGGTGGCTATAATAAAGTTGCAACTGACAAACTGATGAACTTTACAAGCTTCTAAAGCAGTGGTGTCAAACGTACAGCCCGTGGAGCAGAACCGGCCCGCCAAAGGATCCAATCTGGCCTGCTCGATGACGAGACTAAGAGGTGTCAGGTCAGGTTTCAGGAGCAAGTTAAACAATGCATTGCCTACTTCATGTAAAATTCTGCTTCAGAGGCTTTTCCACCCTGACCAGGATGCAGCTCTCTGATATATAACCATGAACACTTACTGTAACCGTGTTTAAAGACACTGAACACTGTGCACAATGCCGTCAATCAGCAGCTTCACTTCAAAGAATCTGTACCAGGAAATGTACCGTAAATGCACATGTAATGACAGCGAGGAGTCGACTGACTGAAAGTGGAAAAAAACTGACACATACTGTTGAACATCTCAGGCTGTTTGTCTGTTTTGTAAAAGGATGAACGTCTACAGAATGCACTTGTAATTCTTTACACATAAAAAGAGGAAAATATTGGAGCTGATGGTTCTTGTGTGATGGTTTTACTGGTCCGGCTCATCTGAGATCAAACTGGTCTGTATGTATTGTAATATTGTATCATTCATTTTAAAATAAAGTTGTTGTGTTATCGTATTTGTAATTTGTAAAGTAATGTAACATTGACTTTCTGTCCATCAATGGGTTCAATATGATATTAATAAAAGATCTAATTAAGATGAAAATTCACAAGCATAAACACAGATGTTTGAGGTTCAATCCTAAATTTGAAATAAAACGTTGGCCCTTGTTCTCACTCTCGTTGTGTTCAGTAAACATCAGTGGAGGAATCAGTAAAACACATTTCTAGATTTGTTTGTTTGTTTTCGTAAATGTCAACACGTCAGTCGATGACGCCAATTCTGTTCCGTCAATGGCTTCATCAGCTCTCAATCGACCATCTCCAGGATGCTTCGCACAGAAACTACCTAGCAATGATTGGTCATCTCTGGTTTCATAAACACGTATTTCAAGAAACATTAAATATTCACGTAGAATTAAATGCTGGATGTAAATGGAGATAAACTGCTCAGCAGCAGGAAGTGAGGAGGTGTTATCAAGGGAGGGTGGGTATCAGTTTACATAACGAGATGATGCTCGGACTGCCCCCTGTTAAAGGAGGGAAGTCGTGGACATTTATGACAGGACAGCTCAGTGAACATGTGACTGTGAAATCACTTCCGCGCCAGGCTGAGCTATCAAATCTAATTAATCTAAAAATTTTTCATTTGTGACACTTTGAGTAACTCCATCGAATCGAATCGACGAAAGTCAGATACGCACGAAGGGACAAAATAGATTAAGACTAAATAATGCATGCAACTAGTGAACAGTTTGATTTATGGATTCATTTTTTTATCATAACACCTACAAGACGATGATGTGAAATGATTAGATGTAAAAATTATTAAAATGTAAAAGAATTAAAGGATTATAATTTAAAATTTAAAATTTTGTATGATGTTTCCTCTGTAATGTTGTTGATACTGTTGTTTTGTTTTTGATATTGTCTGTAGTGTTTAGAATGTGTTTTATTGTCTTTTTAACTTCCTGCCCAGGGACCACAGATGCAAATTAGCTATTTAGCTAACTCTGGTATAGAACCTGTTCTGTACATGGTCCCTGTCAACTAAACTAATAAACTAAACTAAACTAAATATAATGTATTTAATTATTAATTAATTTATTTCCTCTCTCTGGTATTGTTGATATTCTGGATTATTCCTTTGGTTGATATAGGAGAGGCAAAAACAGGCCTGTTCCTTTTTGGATTATTGACTGTGAGTGAATCTGTGTGAAATAATCTTCGTTTCTTTGTTTCCACATGTAAGTAACTGAAATAAAAATTATTCATTCATTCATTCATGATGATTGCTCATGTCTCCGTTATTAAGAGAGCCATTTCGAGGGCATTTTTAAGCTGTTTTTTAATATTTCTGCATATTATTTGTCGATCTTACAAGTAAAACCAAGATTTTTGTGGCACACAGAAGCGGCTGAGGTTTAACCCCCCCCAAATTCAAACACAATCTCAACTCTCCATCTGTTATTCGTCTTTTTTTGGCTTGATTGTTGGCTGTGAGTTTTAAAAGTCTCCATTTCACTCAGCTGCCGTCGACTCTGCTCTCTTCACTGATTTTCATCAGGATGTTCCTGACAGAGACTAGCTATTACGGCGTGTGCGTCAGGGGTTCCTTTTGTTGCTTTGTCTTCTATTGACAGCAGATGTTTGCTGATGTAAGACATACAACAGGAAGTGATGTCTCAATCTTTAGGAGCTAAACCTGTATCATCTTTTAAAAATCACTTCTTACAAACACATTTTAACTGATTTGCTTTGATATTGTTTCAGTCTATGTTACGAATATTGTCCATGTTATTGCTTAAACTTGTCGTTAATGTTTAGAGTCTGGGAATAAATATTGACCAATAATATTAATGTTAAATTACACTTGCCTCAATTACCTAAAGGACCAATGGGGTCGATGCTGCGGGGTTCTGAACCATCACAAGATGGTGTAAAGTGAAGTATAAGTTCATTTAGACATCCCTATAGATTTAAACTCTGGGGCCAGAAACTTTTCCATTCACCCATCCACTATCCGTGTCCAGAGGATCAAGCCCAGTTCAAGTTCTGTAGTGGAGTTCAAACATTTCTACTGTTTCTTTGCTTATTAACACCATTTTAAATTATCTTTGCACCTCTTGTCTGCACTTGTGCTATTGTAAATCATTCAGAATTAATTTGACCTTGTATATCTTTCTCTCTTTACTGCAAATCTGTAACCTTTATCATGCTTCATGACCCTGGTGTATAAAATGTGCTCCACAAATAAAACTGCCTTGCCTTACATTAAACAGAGCTGATGCACCAGGAGCCTATTAAATATATTTGCCCAAGTCCCTTCACAAGATTGATCTGGTGCTGATTTTATGTGATGATAAATTATTTTTGACACCATGTAACTCTAACACCAGTTATTACAGTACAATTAAAAAGATAAATCAGTCCAGTGTTTTGAGAAGAACTGGTTTAGATGTTTTTGTTACGGCAGCAATGAGCAGTCAGACAGTAGATCACCAAAACAGGTTCAGAACTGGAACAGACACATTTCAGAAACATGGCTGACTGTCAGGTATGTTTGAGCTCTCAACAAAACATCCAAGGAGAGAACTTATTCACCGTCAGCTGTAAAAACACAGACTTAACTTTATAAAGCAGTGCAACAATTATCTGTATACTGGATTAAATCAGCGCCACATGTTCACAGATTTTCTTCATTCAATTTTGCCCTCTAAAAAACATGTCCAGTTAGTCTTGCTTCATCATGTTTGGTGGATCAGGACATGAAACATTTTACTTTCAGTTCTGTGTATAATTAAAAGGAAGTCTGTGCAAAACCTTCAAATTATGTAACAGACCGATTCTGCCAGCTTTGGCGCTGAAAGTGCAAAATTCGGTCAACTTAAATCTTCACGACCTCCACGGAATAAACACGCAAAAACATTGCAAACACACCAGGAAGCACGTCTAATACAGAAGTTACATAAATCCTTAATTACCTTAAGCCACCTGTCGCTCTTTTAAAAAGCTCCCACCTAATAGCGAGGGGTCTGTCCAGCAACAAGCGAGTCCTAAAGTGAAGCAAGGAGTACAAATGAGTTCTTAGTAAGTGTGTTCTCCCTATATTGGTCTAAGGGAGCTGAGGTGGAGCTAAGTGAAATTTGGGCAGAGACAGAATGGAGTTTGACTGGCTCGACCAGAGGCGGTAAAAAGGCGGCTTGACAAAAGCTGCACGTCAAAAGAAAGCGATTGTGTGACTGATAAGAATAATCCCAGTTTACCTCTGACGTAGCTCCATTCAAAAGGCCTTCAAGTGTTTCTTTTGTGTCTGACACCTGCTGTAACTCACTCATCTGTTAACAGAGACACAGACAGCATAAAAGAACCAGAACACATCTGTAATGACTGAGATTTTTTTATTTATTCAAAGAGCAAAAAATTCTGAGGAATGATGAGACAATGGTTTTTATCAAGTTCTGCCCTGTCCGAATGTCGATAGAAAAATTGTGGTCCTGTCCTGCCAACAAGTGCTCGTGGTCCGTTCTAGTAGTCACATATTACTCAGTGAGACTAAGTCTCATTAAGACATTTTTATCTGCCAAGTTGATCGCTTTCTGGTCAAATTTCTAGCAAATATTAGACTTTGTTACTGCAGCTCCACACACGCATTAGCATCAGTCACCATTTATGTTTGGTCAGAAAACACACAGCGTTAATCCCAGCGTAAGAGAGGACGGGTGTCCATTCAGGAGGAACGTCTCTGTAGTTTGGTCAGATGAGGAGAGGGAAGGCCTTCTGGTGCTTTGGACCTTCACTCAGGTAGTTGGAGTCAAAGAAGGCAGCCTGCTAACACCTTATACTTCCCGTCAGTGCAGCCGGAGACGCCAAGTCTGTCCATTACTGGCCGTTTTTCGCATTGAGCATTTTCTCCTGTGATTAGAAAATGACAAAAAACAAGAGTCAGCTGACACAGCTTATCAAACACATGGCATAAATGAAATCATCTCTGTACTATATACTCTATTATATATTGTATGAGTGCGAACACTGAGCCTGATGATGATGATGATAATAATAATAATAATGATGATGATAATAATAATAATAATAATAATAATATATAAGAAGAATAATAAGACGAAAAATAAGAATAAGACGAAAAATAAGAATAAGATGAAGAAGACGACGAATAATAAGAATAAGATGAAGACGAATAAGAAGACAAAGAATAAGAATAAGATGAAGAATAAGACGAAAAATAAGAATAAGTGCATACCATACACAAAAACAATCATCTATGTACAAAAATACAATATAATAAATACAATTTATAAAAATGTCTTTTAAAAAAAACCCGACAAAAAATACCAGACACGTCATTTTACAAATTCATAAAAATGGACAGAATTAAAAAAACTGCACCCACAAACAAGCTGGAGTGTCAGAGGCCCCACAGTCTGGATGATGATAGTCTAGACATTTGGCTGGCACTGCACCATCGTCGAAGTTTTAGAAGCAGTCTCATGCCATCGTTATAGGCCACATTAAGTCTTTGCATGGTGCTCTTCCCATAAGAGCGCCACAAGTGGGCAGTATACAGCGGAGTGCAAAATGCTCTACAAAGAGCCGTCTTCACATCAACTGAACATGTTGACTTTGCGAGCAAGCACATTAGCTTGTGCATGCAACTTGCAACACTGCCTGTGTATATATCTCTGTCAACCGATAAATCACTGACAATATAATGACAAAGATATTTAATCTCATGACACATTTTAAGAGCAAGACCAGATAATGATGATCAGACCTGGAATTGACATGTTTCAGTGATCGGATCGCAAGAGGACAGCTGAGACACATCGCAGATCACACCTGTGTCCGTCATGCGTCTGCAGCTGACCACTTGTGTTCAGATTGTGTTTCTGCCTACGTCATTTATACTCAGTGTTGGTGGGGTTACTTTTAAACTGTATTCTGGTAAAGATAACTGAATACATGCCCTAAATGTAATCTGTAATGCCCTCCATTAGATTACTTACACTAAACAACATACGGGAAACATGTGACTCAAGAATTTTACACCGTGTTCCAACGGCAAACGAGTGGCGCTTTCTGTCCACACAAAATCTATGCATTTCTGTTACATCATGTGAAGAAACCACACAGACTATCAGCTGCACGCTCGACTCAAGGTGTAACCACTTTTTTAAACATGTTTTATAATGTGAAATGTACTGGAAATGACACACAACATAGCCAGTGCCAAGTAGGTTGTTATTAGCGACGGTCATTTACCACAAACTCTCAGCTTCCTTGCCAACTCCCTCCAGTCGGCTGACACCTCACTGAGGTTTATGCATAGATAACTCCTCATTTCAACTTCACAAATAATCCATTACTTGTCTCTGTGTGGAGCTTTCAAATCAAGCAACAAGAATAAATAGGAACAGGGTGTCTGACAAATGTTCAGCTCAAATCGGCAGCGCTTTGTTGCTCATGGCCAGTTTGAACCTTTTAATGGAAGCTACGCAAAATCAAACTGACACTGCTTGCTTTGCATTTGTGAAGACACTGTGTTGACACAAATAAAAACAAGAAACATAATGTAGTCCCTTCAGGTAATCATTTTATTATCAATTATTTTTAAAGGAAGTAACTGCATGTTGCAAAATGTCCCCAATTTTCACTGTGACTGTAAAATATGAGTGACTGTATTCAGGTACTTCGTATTTTAAATATGTAACTTCATTACTTGTATTCTGTTACTCCCTGACCCTGCTCATACAGAAGGTCAAAGGGTCCAGCGCACAGTTGTCGCTAGCATGCACACTAGTCACTTTGTGTCAGTGCAGCTGGAGAGATTGCTGCCATCAGAATTCAACACGTCTCCTTCCGTAGGGCAAAATGATTATAGGTGACGCAAGGCTTTGTACACCTTGTACACAATGGGCATGTCACAGAAGATTGGTGTGCTGTCACCAAAATAACCACCAAACCTTACACTGATGACGTAGTCCTTGCTTTGACCCATCAGTAAGCATCAGAAGATATGTGGTTACATACACCCCCGACCACCTCAGCAAGTGGTTTGAGTGTCTTGGTGATAGTTAACGCTTGTATTTCTCTATCCACTTGTAATCACATAAACCTAGATGCATGTTAATACCAGGTGTAAACAGGCTCGTAGACAAACATTTGCCAAACAAACAATTAAAAACATACTTTGATCATGGTCTCCAGCTTGATGGCGTCAGCAGCGAACTTGCGGATGCCGTCCGACAGTTTCTCCACGGCCATGCGGTCTTCGTTGTGCTGCCAGCGGAAGTCCTTCTCATCCAGGTGGATCTTCTCCAGGTCACAGGCCTTGGCTGCAAAAACAAACCATCAAGGTCAAGGTGGAAACAAGTGCAGGGCTCTTAGTTTTCAGGTCTTACATATGGTTGTAAAACAAAAGATGTTTAAGATGGTTTACAGTGAAGGGGGCTTCTTGGGATGTTAAGAAAATGCCTTTGTTAATAGTAGAAAGTAGAAAAAAACCAAACAGTTAAACTAATGATTTGCAAGTATATTTTTTACTACTTGTATTCATGATCTTTTAACCTGCTTTTTCTTCACTAAAACCTCCATTAAAAGGCCACAAAATAACAATTTGTCTATCAATAACTTAACCTGTTACCTTGAATTCATGAAGAAAATTTTGTTTCTCTCTCATGCCTCCACAGTGAACGGAGAATCCAAAAAATTCTTAATGAATTGAAGGAAATGGGGATCACGTTTAACAACAGCAAACTTATACCAAAACATCTGTTTACAAACGCTCACACAACTTTTGAAGAAGAATCCCAGCCTCATTTATTCAGTCGTACACTTAATAATCCAAATGCGTTTTTGCTAAAACATTACGATTTAAAACACAACAGTACAAACATTCTCATGCATGAATAACATGTCTGGGCGCACACGTGTGTTTCAATTCGAGCAGAGCTGAATGTTTCAGTGGGAAGTACTGAGTACGACTGGATAAATGACTTGGATTGAACTGCACAAGTTTTGTGAGACTTTGTGAAAAGATGTTTTGATATAGCTGTGCTGTTGTTAAACGTTGTCCACAATGACTTCAGTTCATTAAGAATGCTTGCTTTTTTTTTTTGATTCTCCACTCACCGTGGAAACGTGCAAGAAATACAAAGTTTTCTTCACAAATTTAACGTAACACGCAGTGAATAACTGATAGACAAATTATCCTTTTGCAGGTGAAGTAGTCCTTGAAACGGACAACATCAACAGATTATTTTAGAGAAGATATAAAAACCCCAAAGCAACGTGCCTTATAATGCTTGCTCTTTCCTCAAGAACAAAATTACTGTAGTAACTATCTATACTGCAGGGATGGAGATGTTGAAACATGATAACATCTATGTTAGAAGTTTAATTTGTTGCCTCTGTGGGTCTATATGGTTTTAACATCAAGCTGACGACGTGTCATCTGATGCATTTTGAATTCCATCTCAACTCTCTGTGCCCTCCGAAGTCGGGCGATGACAGGGAGCATCGGAGCTCTTGACAACCCCTCCCTTCAAAAACAACACGTTTATCTCTTTGACGCAAGTATAAAGTATCCTGAGACATTTTAATTGCAGTTGTCAGTCCAACACTGTCTGCATTTACACAAGCTCAAGAACATATAAGCTACAGGTATGGTTTCCTCATGTCATGAAAATATGTATTCATCAGGGGTGTAACCGAAACCGTCACTGTGATAAGGCCATCCACAGTCACTGTCGTGGCTACCCCCCCTGCCCCCCCCCGGGCCAAAGTAATAACTAATGTTCTGGAATGTTTATTGCCGCACACATCAATCACTCACTCATTTATATGTTGCATGGAATCATAAAAAGGCACCACTCCGGTGAAATGAGATCCCGTCAGCTCCTGTAACCTGAGCACTGGAATTTACTCTGTCTGCTGCTGCTGTTTTATAACTGTCCATGTTTGATGGTTCTGGTAATCCATCGTTTTTGGCTGTGCAATGACTTCCTTGTAGTTTTGGGGACAGTTGCCTTGGTTGTTTTACAAATTAAATCCACCACAGACTCAGTGAGGTCATTGCCGTCATCGGTGATGTTGACGGAGGTTTCCTGGAATGTGCTCCAGACTGTGAATGAACTTCTTGTGTCAATGGGGGCATGTGACGTAGTTTATTTATACAATTTCCCAGACATTCACTTATAGTTACAACATCTGCCGCCACGTATTGATATTCTATTATCTGAGCTGGACTGTTCATTAGGAGCGCTATCGGAATACAGACATCGTTCGATTACTC